ACTACCACGACATCTTACGACTACAGGGAAAGCTTGGAGCCCTGCATTCTCATGATGGAAATTTATTCATATCTGATCGGTTGAAAATGCAATCTGCATCGAATTCTATTTCCAAATTCTTTGCGTTACAAATGGTGATGCTTTAAAAGAAAATACTGGAAGTCAATTGAAAATGGGTAAAATTTTATAACTAAAAGGTATGTATAACAGCTGAAATCCTTTTATTAAAATATACTGCTTGGATTCAGTAACTTGAAAGTTATCATCTTTGAGTTTGATATCTGGCAATGCTTTCCTCAGTGACTCGGACTTAGTGAGCCACAAGAACATTTTCCTTCAGCAATAGAAGTTGAAGGTTGGTGGTCTAAGTGGAAATGGACAATGAAGTAAGACTAATAAAGTCTTTTATTGTTATTCGTAGTGCTGTGTTTTATGCCGAATGTGATGAGCCTTGACCCACACAATCGTGATGCGAAAATTCATTACTGATAACCTCAAGTGTCAATCAATGTCTGTGCCAAATCCAAATTTTACACAAAAAATTATTTATGGCGCTTTCTGACAACTCGTCTCCAGTGTGAGTAGCGCTAATAAAAGTATGATATTTGTATTTTTTGAACCAGTAGAATGCAAATAAAAGTTCATGAAGGATCACATTGTAAACTTAGCCGCCTAAAAGGAATATCAAACCATTGCGACATGTTTTGGCGAAATTTCTAAACTGAAAGATGTCACATATGCATAGGTATATGTAGTAATACGTTGGTTGTTTAACCCTTTGGTTTTGGTAAAAGGTCACTTTGTGTCTTGACTATTGAGCTGGCCTCTGGACCATGCCAGTAGCCATGGCTTCACTGCACGTCGAATCGCAATGCGGAAAATTAGACCTTTTAATTCCTACGAAAATTTCCACTGGCAACTTGTACAAATTTGTCTTCCTAAGTAAAATATAAAATTAATTGCACTGAAACGTTTCATCTTTCGGACAATATCAGATGTGAAGAGCAGCAATAAGAAATGAGAAGTGAGTCGCTAAGAATTTGTGCGTCAGACAAATTTGATAATTTACCTTTCACATCACTCATCCATCTCATAGTTGTTGTTTTGTCTTGTGTAAGAATTGGCTATAAATGTCGATTTGACGGAAATGGCATAACATTTTCAAGTAACAGAAAAACATACCGAAATTATTCAAAATCGTATTGAAGCATTTTCTTGTACGGATAGGACTGTGTACGGTCTATCTTCTTCATTTCTGCTAACCAAAATTGCGCTTATAACCTGTTCTCGCTCTCAGGTAGTATTTGCCATGTCTAACCATCGTAAAGACAGGGATAGTTCAAGGTGGGTAGCGCTAACTTTTCTGTCTCAACTGCTTATCGAGTTTGGCGCTTGCGTAAGAGAATGCATAAAAGTCGCATTATTTAAACTGCATGAGAAATACTGCTTTTAATTCATCACAGGCATTTTCCACTTCATCCAGTTTCTTATTGAAATGCTTGATAGTCTGATTAGGTAATTTTAAAATGATTCATTCTGCTGCCTTGCCAAAGGAGCCAAATTATAACAATAGTTTAATTATGTAATGCAAACTTTTAGTTAAAGCCTTCTGCTCGAGTCTTTTTTAAAAAGTGGTTTCCGTCAAATAAACTCGTACCTGCAGATTGGATCTTAATGGGGAAATTTTATAAAAGCCTTATCTGATTTTGGGTATTGATATTAAATACTTTTATTCAGGAAACAAGACAGCGATAGGCAGGGGATCAGTGTAAGATCCCTTTTTAACTAATGAAACCATGTGTCACTAACATTGGGTGAAACTTTAACCGTACTAACGTGACCTAACTTTATGAATAACAGATCACAGCGGAAAACACCGTGTAAATTCGGTTTAATTGCAGTTCTTTCAGATGGGTGACTTCGTTAATCAAAATGAATACACTGTTCACAGTTCTCTGCTTATCACTGAGTTTCCGCAACCACAAAAATAATTCCTGTGGCCAAGGCTAGGAATAGATCAGTTTAATCAAAATGCGCGGCTGAAGTGGTATGCAATAATGGTATTAAATGTGGTATCATGTCTGCGAATGGCTGTCTCTTGTGTCACCGCCACATTGACTGCAAATGCAATAGCAGCGGCTTAACTGAAATGAATTTTGCACTGGACCTTTTTGGAAAAAGCGGAGAGCGACAGCCAGATTTTCCTCAAACCCTTCTACCAATGCATAAAGCTCCACTGCAGCTATTTAGGCTATCTCTATTTTAAACTTTAGGGAATCTTTATGGCTTATTCATTAATTACTCACGTGCTCAATAATTTATACCGGCGATCGCCTTCTTATCAACTGTTCGAGGCATTTTTACCAATTATTTGGCAAAATTGAAATTCAGAGACAAGGAGCGGATTACTTAACATTTGATGAACAAAGGTAGGACCGTTTACTTCTTCAGTTAATATTGCTGCATAGATTGAGCATTAGTAGAGTTTTAACAAGCACTGTTCACCTGTTAATAGGCGATTTGGAATAATTCGACTGGTCAAAATGTGAAAATAATTGCGTTGCAGTTATGCATTTGACAGCTGTATTTACTAAGCTTCGAGCTACACCAAAAGCGGATCCATCGCACTCGCTCTTTTGCCCTCTTTTCCTTGCTCCAAGAGCAGACCCGTTAAACGAGTTACCAGACAAAAGTTAAAAATCGCATTCGTTATAAAGACTTGGGAATTGGTACATTTTGACGCGTTTAAAAGGAATATTTGACGTTTTTTAAGAATAGTTCGGGTCTCACCACCTTTCACTTTTAAGTAAATGCCTAATTCATTGACTAAGCGTTGCGACTGATTCTCCTGTACTACTTCGAGCAAAAACGTCGACTTTCTGCAAAGGCAATTTATGCAGAGATAGGTACCAAGGGATGCCCTTAATGCTTCACTTCTTTACAGTTGTTCTCTGCTTGTCTGCGTTAGTGACTGGCCGAATCCCACAATATTTCGAGGTAAAGCCATAAGAACGCATTAAAAGTGTTCGATTCTCAGTTGCAAGTATTCGAGTTAAAGATGCTTTGTTTTTTAACTAAAGAAGGATACTCTTTCATTTTTTGCTTGTCTAAAGTGCCTTTAAATAAGAACCTGACTAATGCCTTGGGCCTTATTGCGCAGTCTTCCTGCTGTTGCTGCGCGCACTGTTATTCTGGTTCATGCTGCTCCCCACAGATCGTGTTAATTCACACTCCTTCCTTCCAAAGAAGAAACGACGATCATTCCTCTCTCTGTTAACCTGAAAATATTAAAACGTATCAAAGTCATTCCAGCGCTTCAACTATGTACATCGCAGTCTTTTTATGATGAAAAAGAACAGGTGAATGATATATCAGTGAAGCGACGACCGACTTAGGAATTGAGATGCGTTGTGTATATGCATGTTTCCTAAAACACTCATTTAGCAAGCACTAACGCAAAATCTAAAGCATTTTTGATCAGGCAATAGCGTAAATTTGACATTTAAACAAATTTTAAACGCAGTTTTGGAAACATGTGTATAAAACGCTTGTCACGTAATCATGTTAACATTCTAGGCCTGTTTTTAAGACGATGTGGGTTTGGTAATAAATTAACACAGAGCTTACTAAAGGTTTCGACTTCCATCCATACACTTGATTTTCTGTTTGTGGTTCTATTTGCTTTTTTTTCGGTTCCATTCGAGACCTTTGGATAACAGCACAAAGGCTTTCTAAACAACATATTTATTTTTTTGCTTAACCATCTATATCTCCGACCTGTGAGTCAACATTGGGTTTCTCTGTATAAACAAAAACTAAACAATTGTAATTAGGAAGGCGTTCGTATGTATGTTAATTCGCAACAAACCCTCGCTAAATGGGTTTTGCGTATATCTGGTGTAAAGAGCTTGATGCCTCAACTCCTTTTTAATAGATTCGACCAATATTTTTTCTTGTATCAGGTTCATTCTCTGCGGCTTTTCAGTTTTGGAACCCATATCCAAAATCGTAGCCTGTTGGTAACTATAATAACTCTATGTATAAACTAAACGTGATCAAATAAAACAAAAAAATTTTAATTATTACGGACTATTAAAATTTGTAAAAAGAATGGAACTCCTTATTATTTGCATCTTTTAAGTTGTGCTATTTAAGTTGTGTATGCTCTTGCACACTAACAATAGAATTTCAACGAAATTCTTATACTCAGAATACATAAAAAGAATAAATTTTCAAATTAGCAAGACGTTGATTTTTTACCACTAAGTTTTAACACGCGGTCTGCATTTTTCAGCGCTTCATATCCTGCGTTAACGAGATGTTTACCGTACCAGTTTTGAGCAAGAATCAATGTTACTCTATCAGAGGAATGGAAAACGTTGTCTTTAGCCAAAGGACTAGATAGACGAGCTAAAGTGTAGATTATGAAGCTTAAAAAGCTTGCACAGTCAAGTTTGTAGTTAGACATACTATCACCATTACATAGGCCTTATGTCTTGAGCAGCATCCCTTGTTCCCTGCTGATATTTCTGGATCAACCGTCTCAAAGTTGTTGATGTTATAAGAACAATCAATGAGCTAGCAACGGCTGTAAACAAAAGTCTATTTAGGGTAAAAGAAATCTGATCCCTTCAAGCATTAATGTGATCACACTTTATCTGAGACGTTGTCCTAATTGTAAACTACTTCGAAGCATAAAAATTTACGAAATGGCATTGCTCTAAGGCATGTTTAAAAACCAGCTCAATTAGAGCTACTTCTGCACTTCTTCTTATTGTCAGATTTTTTCTGCCTATTGCTCCCAGCTGTCCATACGCGTTAAACTTAATTCATAAAGGTGCGAATTTGGCACCGCTTTTTACGTTACATAGTTGCATAGGCATCCTAAAAGGCCCTAATGTGGAAGTTTCACAACTAGCAGCCTTCTTGCGGAAATTTAAAACTGAGATTGTCGTTACATTAATCCACTCTTCGACATTTTATTGAAAATTATCGCAGATATGGCCATCTGGTGCGGACGCCCAAACCCTACTTCCCTGTCATTTTTAATGTGCTTTCCAGTCTTTACGAGACTGTACCAGAAGGTACTGGTACCGCAAACTGTTTATAATTGCCGTACAAGTGGTCTAATGGAGTCTATCTAAAAGTTTGGTAGGCCATGATACGGAAGAGATCACGTATCTAAATATATTTAAACAACAAGTCGATACACCCTGATGAGCTTGTTGTAGTTGATAAGTATCATTGAAAAATTCGTAACTGTGAGCTCACTTTGGGATCATGCATTCGAGTAATTTTTCATAGCTCTACGTCGTTTTCAAGCTGTTGGTATCGTGTTGAAGAATTGATGCTGTTAAATTCCACATTGCATACTTCAACCAATTCTACAAATATTTAAGTGTTGTCCATATCTCCGTCTAATGGTATTAGTAATTGACAATGCATATTTTACAATGAATCCATGTGCTTTTGTCGCTTGTTTAACTTCTCCTCGAAGTAAAACTAATGTAGTTGTTCAAATTTTTTCGGGAGGGACACTGAAATGGGGTAGGATACCGTTGTGATGTTTGTTATGTTGCTGGTATTTGTTTGTATTTCTGCTTGATCCCTATTGCTTTGAAGTGTGTTCTTCTTGACTATATGTCCTCGTTTTTCTCGACGCTTCATGCCAATTTCGTGTAGTTTTCCTATCAAATATACCTTTGTTGGTTAGTTTAAGTGTTGCTTCTTTCTACTGGCGCATGTCTTTTTGACGTCCACGGGTGATAACACAGCACGGCTTGTGTTTATTTTGTTCTCAAAAATCATGATACATTATAGTGAACGACCAGTGGCCACAGCCAAAGCGCATGTAATGCTCTACGATACGAAAACAAGTAGCTGGAATTATAGTGGAAATTCGCAAAGTCTTGCAAAAGTGCAGCTTTACTTCAATTCGCAAACAAATGCATATCGCGTTGTTGGATGGAGTCTTCAGGATCGCGAGGTGCAACTTTGGCTCGTTTATTATTTCCTATGCTTACCAATTTACCTATATTTCTAGAATATCGTTGTTTTATCGTTTTTTTTCCCATTTAACCTACCGTAGATGTTATTTTTAGCTTTCTCTTAATTCCTGTTTTCATTCTGTTGCTCTCGTGTGAACCCTGTTTGGTGTACTGCTCTAGACTTATCAAGTATGGCCTGTCTCCATGTTACTGTAGCTTAATTGACGTTATGCTTTTGCATAACTTGTCTATTCTTGGAAATCCTACCTGCGTTCCCTCCACCGAGACTTTCTTATTGTTTACGCTTCGTATACAGTTATTGAGCATATCGTTTATGCATTTGTCGATTTTTCATTTTTTTAACGCGCTTACTTTATTTTGAAGGTCGTTATTAATTGTTCAATACCACGAGGACTAAATTATCACAAAGCCCGTCCGAATTTCCACCAATGGCGCGACGCTAAACAACATGTATACGGCCTGAGTTTTGCCTCCTTAGACGAGGCAGAAGCTTTTGCTGCAGCTGTCGAAGCTGCTCTTGAACAACTAGCTGCTCTTAAACGCCAGCAATCTAGTTCGCAACCACAGGAGCTGCAGCCATTGAGGCAGCAGCCCACTGGTAACGGTCCCACGATCACAAACCACCAGTTCCAGTATCAAACTCAGTCGCAACAACAATTATCACAGTATCGGGAACAGCAATCCCAGTATGACCAGTCCAATTATGCAGAATCGGGTCGTACAAAAAGGGTAGGTCTTTTAAAGTCAGGCCGATTCTCGTAATCTAAGTCTTTGTTCGTCTGTTAATTTTTCCGTCTGTAGTAATCGGTGATTTGATAATTGAAATTTCATTTCTTACTTGTGAAACAGAATTACCTTAACACGATTTGATTTTTCTTCAGGAAGAAGTGGAGCCCCCTGGCTATGCGGGTGTACCCATTCAGCAGAAGGCCATTCCCGCTAACAACTCTGTCAACAATCGTGGAGAGTATGCGATGCCGAACATTGCCCAATCCCAGCAGCAACAACTGGCACCTCTCTCATCCCAGTCAGATTTGAATGGCGGCGGTGGTTATCGAGCGCCCTCGATACTAAGCGATTCGGGAAGATCTGTCAACGGCTCAATTGGGAACGGCAGTGTGGATGGACGGTTGGTTCTAGTACAGATGTATCAATGAAGTGCTCGTTCGACAAAAATTGAGTTATGCCATCAGTATTGCCGTAAAACATGGGATGCTATACTAAAATATTGTATGTGTCATTTCAATTTTTAGACCACAGATAGCTAAATTTGCGGTGCTATTTTTCCATCTATGTTCCTCTTTTGGAAGTCTAACTTGACATACTCATCTCATTTGGATTCAGGAATTTCTTCTGGGCTAGTGTAATGGAAAGCGTTCTATGATGTTGGGCTTTTATTTCTTCCATGCGTTGCTAAATTGAACCAACTACAGATTTCGTTGTTCCTATTGTCCTGCTGCCGAAAACCGGCTCTCAGTATATGCATTAACACGAGTGCTGTAGTGGTGTGAAGGTGATAAGGCGCGGCCGCAAGATGTCGGGATTGGTCAATCATAAAACCACTAGTTTTTTATTCTGGTCCAATTATTTACTTGTTCCATAACTCCCATTTCCTGGTTGTCTGTGCGATCAAATTAATCTGTGTAGCCAAATGCAACATTGTGGTTCAAATGCTTATAGGTAGGTGAGAGATAACTGTTTCACATTACAGATATCAGTCTTCCTCGGATGATAGTGTAAAAGGCCTCATTGGTCGAATGCCCAATGCTCCTTCATTGGCCGCAAGCAATTGTTCAACTCCATCTACTTCCGGTCTCGCTTCTTCTCCCAGTAAAGGTAATTGGAACTCATTTTGCCAACGCACCTTGATCATTGGATCATTTGCGCCGTCATATGTTTCTGCTACTCCAAGGAAGTTTTTGTCGAAGTTCATTGATTGACATGTCTGTATGGTCATTAACGATCTCTTGGTATTCATTTCGATGGTGTGCACGTATTTTAGTAGCTTCTCAAGTGTTATCAAATCTAAGCCACTTAAGCATCTGGTCAAAAACTACGCCAAATGAGTCATCACATTTGACGCGGAAAATCTTAGCTCGGGCTGCTCTCTATTGCCATTACCAACTCTATCTGAGGTATCGCGGTTTCATTTCTGGACTTTTATATGTCCTATTGAGGGTCGGTGATCTTGACACTTGATTCGACTCATACAGGCATTTTTTTTTTTGCTTCACCTCATTACTTTTTGATCTTTTGACCTCCACCGCTGACTCATGCCAGGTTGTCAGGACACTGACAACCACACCCTGGCCTATGACCCAACCAAAAATTCTGCCTTGAAATTTCTGTTCTCATTCGCCTTGAAGCTTCGTTATACCAAGGTTGGCCTCATATTGGATTACAAATTCTCAATATGGAACTATGTCGCGCTTCCAGAATCGTTTGTCTGTCACGTTGGAGTTCTGGTTTCATATCCACTTTTGATGACAGCGTCATCAATTTCAAAAAGCTGTCATCTTTTCTAGATAATGGGAAAGTCACTCCTAGATAGAGCTGAAAACAATGCATCTAAGGCAATACTTCGAAATTATCTGCACTTGCTATGATTATTTGCTAACTCTTGGGTGACATTGTGGTAGTAGTGTTCATTCTTCTTCCGCATTGTTACTCTGCGCCAAAGCTGAGAGCGTAGTCTTCGTAGTTCCTTTTTTGAGCTGGTTTATGGTTATATGCATTCGTATTGGTATTTCCACATCGTCACGCTTTTGACCACCCAAATCGTAAATCTTTTATTTCAGGAATTTTTTTTTTGTTAAGGAAGTTTTGGGTCAGATTATAATGTCCCACTCCCCGTTATTTTATGAAGGGGTGTGAAATTTTGTTATGGTTTGTGTCGCTGCTTTCGAAAAGAAGCGAAGTATCTTTAACACAATTGAACTTTTATAGACACTGGTTCATGTGTATGATGTGGTTCCAGTCTGGTATTTCCGTTTAGGCAAGCGTCGAAGGACACTATAGTGGGTCGTTTGTGTAATACAAACTTTTGTGAAGCTTCCATCCTCGCATTTACCTTTTTAGTATGCTCCTTATCGTCTTGGGTTAGATTTGATGCTTCAAAGATTCTGAAGACGCTATCATATTCTATTTCTCGTCTCCTTTACAGATCCGATTTCGCTTTTCTGATATTTGGTATTTTCTCCTTTTTCTCATTATTTCTGAAGAGTCTTCATCAAGTCTATCGTTTACTCAATGCACCGAAATAAATACCCTTCCCATTTTATGTAACGCAACGATAATAGCATTATTCGAACTTAAGGCCCCTTCATGGCACCAGTTATGTTTATATATTCCGTGGTTGCGTTTTATGGGCCGCTTCTGTATAGTTTGGGTTGTTTTCGAGCGGACTCTAACTTTACCATGATTTTGCAGCCATCCTTTGTTGGCACTTTGACTACCCTCTATGTATAGCTTCTAACGCTGTTTGCAAACCTCACGCTAAGTCCAATAAAACACCCATTGCGAGGAGTCTCAACGAACTTTCTTTAACTTTGATGTCAGAATGTGGTGTTTTAAAGTAGTAGTGGTTTCGGTATTTGCTTTTTAGTCGACATAAGATGGGATTTTTGTCACTATTGTGTTTGTTCCGGCCATTTGCTCGATCGCTTTACTTCGGTAAATGATTGCTTCATTCCAGTCACTGGCCTCAGTTGCCTGGGTGTATTAGCATCATCGATCCCCAAATTGCGCAATATTACTTCCTTGTCATAGATAGGGGTGGACAGTCCATATCAACCCTAGAAGTACGCTCTAAAATCTTTCAATTCTGTCATCCCTGCTTGATTTCTTCCATTGATTGTAGCTTATTTGGCTTATGTCTTCTGACGTGGTTGTGTTTGAGTTAATTAGTTAGCAATGCTCATTTGTGGTCTATGGATAATTCCCAATCAAATCTAATCGACTCATCTTGCCTTCAAATCAAGAAAATGTCGTCCTATTGCTGTTATTCTCTTTAAATATAAATACGCAAAGAGCATTTACCCTGTTAGGTGGTGGATTTTTACCACTTATTGTGCACCATACTTTTGATATGAGCTTTTCGGAAAAGTTGTACCTGTATCTCAAAAACTCATTGAATTTACCTCTTAACTAGCCTTTTCCAACGTGGGCTATATCTACTGCCTGTCCGTCTTCCATATATCTCAAATGTACTTTAAAGTACAATGCGCGATATTTATGCCACCAGCTTTGTTGACGCAATTTTTTCATCCCGCAAAACGTGAGCTAGATGTCTGTTTAACCGCAGTTATTCTGCCACTCATGCCCTAGCCGCATCACTATCACTCGCCAACGGGCTTAAGGTATTCCCGTCACACCGCTTACAGGTCATTATTGGCGTGTTGATGCAGGCGGACGTGACTCACTCATCCCATACGGCCGTCTGTAGGAAAATTGCAAGTTGCGAATGTGTATGTACCTTCGTCCGTTGATAATTTCCAAACAAGTTCTCTCTTTCTCTTCATCGACTTTGAATTCACTATCATGCCAACTCTTCACGCATGCAGTTAACCTCGTCTTTGTATATTGCTCCTACGGTGTATACCTTGGATCCTCTCTGACAGTGGAGGACAGTTATTCCCACTGCTTAATATTCTAAGGTTTATTGTTTGTACTTCCTTGACTCTTCCACTGCTCACAACATTTTCCTTGTGCAATTTAAAGTGCTTCTGGTGGACAATTTTTTTCTTCGCCTTTAGCCAACACTTGTTAGGATTCCTAATGCTACATGGCATTCTTAACGAGGACAGTTGCACAGCGTTGTCTTTATTCTTTTTGGTCAAATTAACCATTATCTCATTCGAGTTGTTTTGCTTTTGGTGATTATTATTTATGGAATCCATCTATTTGTTGCCTTCTGTTATTAGCTAGACTTCATGTTTCACTGATTTCATTGTCCACTAGAAGGCATTGCTTTGTCTTGGTTCATTAGTGTAGTACTTTGCAGTTGACCATTACACGTTCCACTTTTGCTGCATAAACCTGCTTTTGGCCTTTACTTATTCCCTTTCATTATAGCTATAATTTTATTTCGTGAAATAAACTGCATTGCATCACTGCGTTTCGGTGTATGGTCAATATCCTTTCTTCTGTTATCGTTTTTCACAAAATGATCTACTCCTACTTAGATTTATTGTAGGTTTTTTTATTTTGTGTTAGGCAAGTCATTTTGTGATTTGTTTTTATTCCACTTCACTCTTGTTTCAATATTGTTCAGCTTGCTTTAGTGAGGGTTCGATAGCATTAAAGGCCTGGGTGGTGTTTCTAACCATTGTTTAGCAATTTACTCACTTTGAAGAAGAACCTCGTCCGTAAGAAGTACTCAAGAGTGTGTAGCTGTTCCAGTGATTATATTTGCGCCACTTCGCGTGCTGTTAATTTGCATTTTCATCGCACGTTTGTTCGTAGCGTTAATTTAGTGCTCATACGAAAGAAGTGGAGTTATGAGCAAGAAGTAACATTTTCCAGTGCACTTTTGTGTGTCCAGATAATTTGGATTTTACAATGAAATCTTGCCTAATTCTAAATCATAAATTTTATTCGTGCAATCGTGCATCTGTACAATTTTAAAAACTACCGCAAGTGATTTTCACATCTCTCATCTGTCTACCAACTTTTTTGCCATAAACCTTGCCTTCTCTTCGGCGACTAGTTTGTATGCGCGTTCGGTACAGCACTGGAAGGAAAAATCGGGTCAAGTACTTATGGATTAACTTTCCTAACCTTTTTTTCTGTCCTAGTGAAGCCATTAGGAACAAAAATTCTTAGATTTGCCTTTCCTACCTTTATAGTGACTCAGAAGTTTGTGAAATTTCCGGGTTTATCTCTAGCTACCCTCTAATTTATATATTTTACTTCATTGATATATTCAGGGTGATTTGCTAGACCTTGCTCGTGCTTTGTGGGAAATTTTTACAAGCTAATGGATCACTTCGGGCAGCTTGATCATCTGTTTGTAACCGAGCATATGCATAAGTAATCCTCTACATCACTGAAATTGCAAAAATATCTGCTTTCTGGACGTGGAAACCTTTACATCCTCCTGAGCGGAAAGAGGAAGGCCACCATGTCTACCTTTTTGCCACCTAGTTTTTGTCTACTATTAGTCATTAGTTTGTTATTTCCTAAGACCTTTTAAACTTGAACGTATTTTTTAACCCTACTTTTCTGTTGCTTGTAGTTGTTTTGGTACTGCAGAGCAATGTAGTCTTAGAATTTCGGAAGCATGAATTGCAATCCGCTTTTGTCGTTGTTGGAACCGTCTTCTCAGTAGAGTCATTCTATCACCTAGGCTCCCTGCATTATGCTCCTCCAACGCCTCCACCGCCACCGACGATATCTGCAGCTCCCCCTGCCCCGCCACCGCCTCCTCCGCCAGCTTCACCGGCACCTCCACCACCCGCTCCGACTGCCCCGCCTGCTCCTCCGCCGCCTCCTCCACCACCGCCTCCTCCACCACCACCGGCTCCTGTTTCCTCGGTCCTTGGCGATCGCAAGTTCTCGGCTCCGGCCCCCTCCACTCTTTCCCTCGGCACGATAGCCAACGACAGTGATGAACCTGACTCAGCCAACCAGAGTTGGTTAGCCACTCAACTGCGTCAGGCCAAGCAGATGCGTCTGCGAAAACAGCAGGAGAAGCAGGAGGGCGGTGGTTGCGTCAATTCGACCACCGGAAGCGGTGGAATTCATGCGGTGGCGAGTGCTGGAACACTGAGTCGAGCTCAGGGGGCTGACATGATGTCTGATTTACAGAGGGTGCTGGCGGCTCGTAGACGTGCTCGTGAGGGCGACGTATGTTCTGCCCCGATGACATGAATAATTAATGTCGATTTATCCTGGGCCCCCTCATCGTGTAATACAGTGACATGTTTAGCTCCACCTTGTCTTCAGCTTACCACATGTAATCTTGCGACCGCTGCCTAATGTCGTTTCCTTTCGTGACCCCGGTTTCGAACATGTAAACAAAACTACCTCGGTAGATGAGAGGATTTATGCGTATTTGTTTGTTATGCTCTACCGTTTGTGCATATTTCGGCTTTGTGGGGTTTTATTTGTTACGCCGCTTTCTTTTTGCTTTCACTCTTGTTAATGACGTTAAAATTTCCCAGTCACTCTGGAGTAGCAATTTTTAATGGCTCTCTTGTGTTATTTTGGCTTTATACTAGAAATAGTCTTATTGGTCGAGCTCTCAATGTATTTGTGCTACCTAGAATTAAACTTGAAAGTGTTCTACACTGTTTTTGGTACTGCAATTCCTAAACGTTGTGACGGGAATGGTGTCACTGAACTGCCCTTGCTTTTGCTGACCGAATGCAGGATTTTGTAACTAACGTGGATCTCACCTTCAATTTTATAACGTCATTTTGATCGATAACAACCCGTAGGTCTGCTCGCGCTATTCGTTCTCTATTTCGTATTCTTCAGTTGTTTGACAAATGTAAATTTGTTGAAACTTGCTTGCTTGTTCAGGGTCATCTGTACCATAAATGTGTAATTTTGTGAATCGCAGTAGTACTTTAATCGATTTAGAGGTCATCTCAATTCCTCGAAATTGCTGTTCTGAATGAATTACATTCACTGTGGTTTACCCCGCTGCATGAATTTTAATTTGAATCGTCGCTTACGTTCAAATTAACAAACTCTTTTATCTTGAGCTCCGTTGCAAGTTTTTTTCCCATTGTCATGACAAGGGAGTGTGTCTTTCCTTTAGTATGACTGGGCTCATTCTATTCAATCGTTTCGCATCTTTTATCAGTCCACTTCGCCAGAGCTCAAACTTATCTTCACATAATTATGCGGCTGTATTAAGCAATCTACCTTTTTTGTGTTAAATTGCTCTAATTGTTGGATGGACAGTTTAGCAAACTTCAAAGTATTCTTTTTATCATAGTTGATCAGCAGCTTTCACAAACCAAATGGAGTTTCGGCTCACTTAATTCACCTGATATTGTCTGCATCTGCACTTGTTTTTTATCGTCTCCATCACCGTCAAAGCAGCTCTCGTTATGGTTGCTTGCCAAAAGATACTCATTCCTGTCATTTTTGCCTTTTGAACTGCATTTTTGAAATCTAACATATTCCCATGGTCATAAACTTGGTTTTTATATGTGTGAATCTTCTCATTCCAAAATAACCGGTTGTTGCGGACTGTGAATGCAATGCTTAAATGATGACTTCTTGTTATTTCCCAGCATAGGCAATTTGGAATAATAAAAGGGAAGCACATTGGATTTTTTTGCTCTCTAGTATTACCGGACTGATAAACCGTGCTTTTCAGACATAAAATTTACTTGTTTTGGTCATCTCGTTATGTGAAGCCGACTTGTTAGACGGGCAAGTCGTTTACTTATTCCCTTTCATTCAGAACGATAATGCTGATGGGGTCGCCGCGGATTCCGCCAACGGTGTTTCAGCTTTGTGTGGATCCGCGAACACCGCGGAGAGTGGGCATTCACGTCGACCTTCGCAATCCATCAATAACAGTGGCAGCGGCAATGCCGCGCTCACCTTTGCTGTACCCACCGCGCCTGCCCCCACATCAAACTATGCCACCATGTAGGTTAGAGTGTCCAATCCCCTGTGTGGTTTTTCATTGTCTACCATTTTTGTTCGCCGTGTTCTGCAAGTAAGGAGTATGGTAATTGGCAAAGTTCGTTAACCAGTGGGGACATTATTTCGGGTGCACTTCTGTTTCAACATAATTGTATAATTTGGCGATAGTAGTTACGTTTAAATCTGATTCATTTGGTCTCTTTCAGTTACTTACGTCTACTCTACTATTTGTCACATTGTTTCACCGAAATCGGGTGAATCCGTCAAAAATCGCCTTTAAGTAACAAATGCTTGGGGTTATTTTTTTTTTCCATTTAGTCTGCAGCTGTTGTTGTTATCCTCTGTTCTTTTTATTTTAAGCAGCCAAAATTCAGTGGGGTATTGTTTTAATTTCAGTCGGAAGAATTCAGTGTCTTCTGCTAACAATGTCGATACTAATCAGCCTGTCACACGTGCTGATTTAGAGGTTCTGAAACGGGAAATTCTTCTCGAATTTCGAAAAGAAATGAAGGCACTGAAAAATGACATTCTTTCGGGTAGGTTGACTTCATTTTATTGTCTTTCGACAGTTCCTCATTAGTTTTTTATCACATTTAGTAGGAGCTATTACTTGGTCAGGTTATGCACTTTAACTTGCCCATGTTTCCCCGAGTCAATGGTTCATTGTCTAGTGTATCGTAAATATTTGGCTTCCAATGTTTCTCCCCTTGCTTCAAGGGAATCTTTAATGTGCAAATTCATAAAATCGTTTTGTTGGTCAATTCCTGTTTGATTTTGGCCCTACTTTTAAACATTTTCTGCAATATTTAGGTTTTCGTGGCTTGTTTTTACCCGTCCAAGACGTTGGAGGTGCTGAATTTCCAATCTGTTGACATCTTGAGGAATGCCTTGAATTTGTTAAGGCTTTTGGTCTGAGTACTAGTTTCTTGAGTCGGCGCATCTTCGCTTCAACACAATTTTTACGTCCTTTGTATCTTCACCTCAATGGTATTGGTCTGGTTCTCTTTTAATGTTATTCATTTATTTTGTATAAGTTGCTCCATGCTTCAAGGTGTTAGTTGCATTTACTTAATGGGGTTTTGAACCACTTCTCAACTGCTTCTAAGTTGGCAGGTGATGTTGGTGCCGTAGGATTTATTTGTGCCTCAGAGGCAACTGGCCACGGTGCTTAGTTCCTTGCTTATCTAGCCACCACTCCGACGCTAAAAGTACTGTTGCGACTTTGGTGTACGATGGATAGAGTTTGTCAACGCCATTTTCTACCTAAAATGCTTAGCTTTGGGGCGATATTGCATTTTTAGAGGGGGGTGTTCAATGTGGACTCACCCTCTAAACACCTCAAGTTTGCACACGGATTGGTGGAGTTGCATTGTCTGACACCAGACGCATACCCTGATTGCTCATCTGATGATTCACTGCAGTCTGGTCCATTGTGCGATTCTTACCCACGGGCCGCATCGTTTACTTGCTCACGCGCTGACCGGACCGCTTGGAAGCGCAAGCAAATCGCCCTTCCTATCACGATTTCCTCTTCCGCTTAGTGGGTGGGATCTCATTTTTGGAAAGCGATTGACTTGTCTGAAACTGCCACTTCTGCTGTCCTGCGTTTTTGGCAGGCTGATCTCTTTTTGCTCAGTCAACTTTATTTTATTTAAGTGGTGCAATTAGTCTTTTGAGTCAGGATTCCAGTTCATAGCACGTCTGATTCACTTTTACCGCCCACTGTGGGATATTTATCCGCACTGTCTATTGGGCTGATAACTTTGTCAGCGTCTCAGCGAATCATAGTGACAGTTCCAGCCAATTTCCGTTTCATGCTCCTGATTTGACCTCACTTTGGCACTCGTTTTCACTAAATCATTTTTTGGAAAGCCTCGTATTTTTCTCGTAAGAGTTTATCAGGAATCTAGTCTTCCCATTAGTCCCACTAAAAGGTTGGTTTGACGTACTTTGTAGCTATCGATCACGCTGACAGGTGATTTGGCTCAGGCAAGGCGACATTTAGTGTGAATTGAACTCCCTTCCCCTTGCACAGATAATTGTCCCCAAGTGTATTTTCTCCATCCCACAGCGGCGTGCAGCGCGCCTAGGTATTCCTGAGTTCGGCGGTCTGCGAGAAGCTGCTAGCACATGTTTGCTTGTCCGCTCTCTGCCCTTAAATCCTAGCGTCCCCATCCCCTCTATGCTGACGCTTGCGTGCGTTCGTGCCTGTGCGCGCTCCTCCGTCACGTGCGTCGCGTGTCGAGGCCTTCACTGACGTCAGTCAATGGCCTCATTCGTATGTCCATTGGCTACCTCGGCATCACCATTTGACCAGACTTTCGCACTCTTCTATTTGGCGACGAATATGTGCAGGCTTTTGTGGCCAAGGGCTGTGCTGACTTCGGATATTTGGGACTCACGTAATACCTAATTCTTCTGTTTCTGTCTCCTGTCAGCTCTGCGTCTACCGACCAATTGATGTGTGCATCCGAACACATCCACTTGCCGGCTTCTCCCGCGCCATCTGTTCCCGTGTCAGGAGAGCTCTGCATTCCTCCACATTGAAGAAGTGGGTAGCGGTAACGTCCCGATTCCCATTCTCGCCGCCGCCTCGCATAACCGCCATCCCCCTTCCCTCCGCTGACCCGTCTTTCGTCGTACCCCCGAGAAGACGATGCATTTTCCCGTCTCTCCTTCGTCGCCCATTAACGCTATTTTGTTCTTGCAAGTTGATGCAAACAAGTTTTCGCTGATCTTTTGACGTCGTCTGTTCGTGCGTGTGTATTCGGCTTGTACGTCTGTCCTCATCAGTGCCCACGCACAACCCCGTTCTGTTCGCTTATTCAATCCTACTTTCTCCCATACTCTCCATGCACATCTCAATCCCAAACAAGCACACACGCTGTCTGGTGTTTACAAACATCATCAACTTACATCTCCAAGGCTTGTAATTAAATGTTAACTTGAAATTGAAATGGGTCGCTCATCGACTAAACGCAAGCACTTGGATTGACCCCTCCTAGTTGGTGTCCGTCGCTTCTACTTGTAATTATTGAGTAGCGCAACAAAAAAGTAGCTCAAACGCTGATGGGTCTTAACAGAGCGTGTCCTAGGATGTGATGCTCCGTTAAAACAATTAGAAAACTGAAGCCCACTTCCCCAAAGGGGTTTATTGGAGGTGCCATAACTTTACAATGATGCAATTGGCCAAGCGTTGGGGAGTCAGCCACGGGCCGATGCCGCTGCCGTCGCAAGGGGGTTCCGCAGGACAAGAATAACGGAATCTCCGCGTAGGAACATCTTACTGATGAAGCGGTCTTTATTAACGGGTTTTGACTTTTTCTTCCCCTTCCCCGGGCGGGGGACCTCAGTCCACATCTCTTTGACATTCTCGAGCACCATGTTGCAATGCCTGTCGAACGCTTTCACACGCGCAAGCAGTTTCTTATTATTTCGACAGTTAATAAGAACCTTGAAGAAACATTGGTTTGGTATAAACAGGGTGGTACGAACATAGGACCGACACTTAAAAAAGCAAATGATACTTGATCAGAAATGTTGCAAAAAGGGCATGAGATTTAACATTTGAGTCGTACAAGAGGAGGCGCCTGCAGTTCACGGATAGCACAAGCCTAGGAAGATGTTAGCAGGCAAATTCAGATGGGAAGCTATGCCTTAGAGGGCACCTGATAAATGTTTAAAACAACAATACAATGACTGAATCCTCTCCAGCGCTGCCAGAAGAGATCAAACCAAGGAACTGACAAAATCATAAAATGACAACGATACAGTACTGGGAACCGTCTACCTGCGTGTTGTTTTTCACGGCATTCAATAGGACGGACAGTGGCCCAGTTTCAAATTCCTGTTTCTCCAATTCAATCAATTCTTCTTCCGTCATAAGATTACGCGTTTTCGTCGCTGCCATCACGAGGATCGTCGCAGACCTACTCCAGAGGATTTAGTACTGGCGCCTTTATGCGGTGGGAGAAGAAAACAACGAGCAATAAGTCAACTTAAAATCTCCGTTTGTAAAAAAAAACAGGGGACCAAAAAACTTTGCAAGCATTAAGCAGCTTATATTTTTTCAGGAATATAAGCTTTTTGAACAGTGAGTACTAATTTTTCATGCCTGTTCTATAACCAATTATTATTTGAAAAGTGTAAGCTTGCTCTGTTTACGTGTCTAAACATGGAGATTAGCAGCATATCATAAAATATGCACAAGATTCTGTAGAAACTTAGCACATATTTCAAGGCTCTTACCACGTAATTAAATAGGCATTTTCTTTTTAAGAATTAAATGCTTCATTGCCATTAAATATTTACAGCTCAGCCACATAAATCAGATTTGATATTTGATGTATATTTTTTTAAGATTCTGATGGTGCATTGGCCCCTCGGGACGCACTTGAAGATAAAAAATGATGTGGTGTCTCGAGACTTCCCTGAGGACAAAGGACGATAAAGTACTCGGGCATAATATATGTTTAGCATACAAAAGGTACGGAACTACTGGTATGGCCCAAAGATCAGCCCACCTGGCGTGGTATAATGGCCAAGTCCAAGTTTCTCCTCGCCAATGCCGAGAGATAAGTAACCAACATATTACAGAACACGTAATGTAGCGTCCCGAGACTCCCTGAAGACGAAAGAATACACAATACTCGGGCAGAACATATACATATAGCACGGAGAAGGTGTCTCGGCTATTGGCATGGCCCGAGAGGCCAGCCCACCCAGTGAGGTACAAGGGGGCTAATTCAAAGTACAAATGTGGCGCCTTACGAGAACCGAGGGATAATCACTATCGTATTACAATAATACTTAAAGACAATACACTTACTTGATATGCAAGAGAAACTTAGCCATCAACACAGCATAGAGGCTAGTCTACCCGGCCGGGGTACAAAGGCTACGTACTAGACGGTTCCCTTGGTCAACGTCACGTGTCGGCTACCACAAAGTAATCGTTTCCATTTAGAAACATTCACGAACCAACCAAGTCAGTCATCAAATTTCCATGCAATTGAGGCGATGCTTGACCAAAAATGTTAGTGATTCTACAGTAGGATCTGCAGTTTTATCTTGTATGGAAAATGGGCTGGTTACAGCTAGTCGTAGAAGCATTGAACTTAAAGTGGAATTATGTAAGGGAAGACGTAATTTAACACATTTCCTTGGGAATGGGGTTTCGTCTCTACTCCGCCTTGTTACGTTGTTTGTACTTTAAAGCTGCCAAGTCATATCTATCTGGGTTCTATTCGGCTAGTAGAGAAGTAAAGGAGGTATCACGAGTAAGATAAGCAGCTCCTTGACGAAAATTTTGCGAATGGTTTACAACTAATGTCACTTCAGTTGCTAATAGTTCTTTGGCAGAACACAAGACTGAGTTAGTCCCCACCCCATCAGTTTGTGGTCCCATTCGTGGCACATGTACTTCTTCCTCTCAGCTAAAGTTTTATAATCACCAGTAGAAATCAGGACAGATGCACTGAATGATTGTGTTTGCTTTTTGACATAATTATTCTAGCACCTTGAGACTCCGTTGAAGACGATACAAGACATAATACTGGGACAGAACCCATGTATTCAGCAAACAGTTGAATTACTGTTATCGGAATTATTGGTACAGCTTTGGACCCAGTCCATTCGACGAAGGTGCTGGAGATAAGACGCTAAGTATCTCTTTGCTTAAGCTAAGACATAAAAATTAGGCGGATAATGCAGAGTACTGTAATGCCCTGGTTTTTTATCAGCAAACCATCTTATTCCAGGTATTAATAGTCCACACAAGACTGAAGTTGTGGTATTTCTGCCAGAAGATGCTGCGTTTAGCGCTCTAAAGTTCTTAGATTTCACTAGAGTCTTTTAATTTTAGCCAGTTGTTATAATGCAGCGGAATTAAAAGTCGGCTTTCAAGCGCTATTGTGTTTTCGTTTGTCGCTGCTGTTTGGCATCGGGTGTGTTTTGCCATTTTTCCTATTTATCCCTGTAATTCAGCCCTCAATTTCTTTTCTAGGGGATTGGGTTTAAAAATTTGCCGCAGCATTGCATTTCTTACTATTATGAAGCGCGTCATTGCATCCATCAATGAGGACCTGATGTCGAAAAAACCTTTTAAGCGCTCAAAGAATGGGTGCGTAGAGGAGGCCTTCTCGGAAGGAAACAGGCACTTCTTTGGTTGTTTTCCGCCTGAAGTTGTTTTTCATATATTCACTTTTCTTGAAAGTTGGTGCAAGCTATACTTCTTACCTTTAACATAGTTTCCGATTTATCCAATGTTGTATTCGCTAGTCGGTCTGGTCGAATGTCTGTAAAACACTATCTTTCAAGTTCAATTTGCACTCAGCTTTGCAGTTTTCGGAACCCACACCCACCTAATGCGCCAGACAACTTTGTGGATGTAAATGGACAACTTGATTACTTCTCCCAAGTTGGTATGGTTGCACCTACTGGTTTTTTGTCTAGGAATTTTGTTTCGTAGAATATATTGTTTTCTTCCACTACTGCTGAGGATTCAATTCCTGGATAGCATTCTTCGGGCGGTCAGTCCAATAGTTCTCTGTATTTACAAATTATTTGCACGTGCCAAGCATGCGTTTTATACTCTAGATGAATCCCCTGCTTTGATATTCCTAGTTGGTCCTTAAGGGCGCGCACACGTACTTGGATCACCTTATTAAATCATACTTTTGCGTTTTTAGTACCTTTGTCACAATGGATTTGAGCCAAAGATTGCCTTGAACCACAAATCGAAACAAACATTAAAAAAGGATCACATCAAAGAACTTCTTATAAAAGGCACTTGCATATTGGGAAGTCTACGCTGTCCCTCGACCTTTTATTTTGGACATTTTCTTCGTTCCTTTCTATCAGGCAGTTCACCAAACGAATACCAACGTGTCTTTCATTCCCTCGTTCATTCATGTTACGGACAAAATTTTTGGTTGAAGTTGACTAACTTGCTATGTAAAAAACCGGGTTAGTTTGCATTTTTCAATGTTATATTCTTATGGGGCTTCTGCGTTTCGAATTCATACATGGGTGTGCACACATTTCTGATTACCAAGTAGTAGTATACGTTTCATGTATGATGAGATCCTGCCACGTTACTGATTATTTTTACATTTCGTCCTTCTCTACAGACGAGTGTCCCGACGAGGAGTTGGCTGTTCGACTTTTCCTTCGCCGAATCTTCCTCGATCCCATCAGTTTCCCACTTAACCTAGGACCGACGTGGGCGGACCTCAGCAGCACAAACGCCACAGCATCTAGTTCTAAATTTGGTTCTTTCCCTCCTAGCTCTACTGACTTGCTCACTTCTTCCGGCTACATATCGTCAGCTAGCGTCTCCTTTCGCGATGACAGGTAAAGGTAGCGAAGGTTGTAGTTGTGTTTGAATCTTATTTCCTGTAGAGAAACATTACAGTGGATGCGCACCGATTCATGCACACTAGGTAACCTGTAAAATCGCTTAGCTTTGAGCTCAACTGTGCTATGCCATCAACAACTCGTCTCTGATGGGACATCCTGCTACATACGTGTACATTTAATCAGCATCTTTTTTGTGCCTGGCAGCTTTGATATAGCTGCCTTCCGGAGTCAAAGTCCCGGGACGAATCTGATAACATCAACGCCCTTAATTAAACCCATGGGTGGTGCCGCTAGTAGTAACAACAGTCTTTCGCGCGGCTGGCCAACTGCGGGTATTCTTGCCGACATTCTTCACTCCTATCCCTTTGTCCATCAAGCTCGTCTCCTTTTCATTCTCTATGGGCCTGTTCATAAGGGTAAATTTGTTGCTTTATAAGTTTGTTTCAGATGTTCCTGGTGTTAGTTTTATCATGGAACGGATTATTAAACCATCAGAGTTGTACCAATACTCTAATTACTTATTGTGCAATCCGCTTTCCATTGTATGCTCCGCATCATAGCACGCCTGATGTGGAACATAATGTGCGAGAATACGGCCGCTGATTTGAAGCAGTTATCGGCGTGCTTCGGTGAACTAGGGCGAGTACTCAACAGCCTTTGGCTCTCTGGGCATTGGTCAGCCAGTGACACCATTGCTGTCTTGCATGAGATCACCAATACGCCTGACGGCTGGCTGGCTGAGAACGTCGCCTGCCTCTTGCACTCAGCTGGTGCGTCTCCATTCAGTTCCTCTTCACTATCTTGCTACACTTTGGTTGTGCGAATGTTTATTGAGCGAAAATGATAGTCTTGCATATTTGGTCCTTTGACTTTTGCAGGTCCTCAACTGGCATCGCTGGCAGTGCAGCACAAGGCCAGCAAGGGCTATGTCACTGAACTCGCCGTCATTCTCACCTCTTTGTGCCTTGTTCAGGTATCCCTTGCTTTTTAAAAAACGAGGTTACCGATCCCTTTCGGCCTAGGATCGCTTTTTTTGTCTTTTTACTTACGACCGATTCGCGCAAACTCTGTCCTCGTACGTGGTGTATTGGAAATCAATCAATTGATTCACCGCACCACACCTCCGATAATGATGTTTGAACTAATGTACACGTGCTTTCAGTCGGCGCACTTCCCTTACTCACTAACTACGCGGAGTGCTCTCTACCTTGTTGCCCTGCGCGTAGCTTACATGCAATGTACGATTCCATGCGTGGTGGTGCTTCTTCCTACTTTCCACTGCTTTAACTGTCCGTGCATGCCCTCTCATTTTCCTGTACTCTATTCGCATCCAAGGTGAAAATCAAGGAGAATCTATCGGGTCTGCTGAAACTTGTGGGAGATGCTGTTCAGGCCACCGGCAGTGCCTATAGGGAGGAATTCCTAGACTCACTATCCAACGCGTTTCGAGGCGTCATTGTTGATCTGTACGAGACTGATGAACTGGGTACGTGTTCTCCCTCTCCCACCCACACGGTTCTTACCTTGAATGTCGATCTCGAATCACCGTCGTGTGAACTACGTCACTGTTTTGACGACTTTACGCAAAATTTGAAGTTATGTTATCTGATGTAGTGAGAAGTTCTACTTTGACAACGCCTTTCCATCGTAGATGAAAGACTGGAAGACTTTTCCATCATCCTCAAGGCCCAGTCTTACTTTTTCCGAGCTCTGCTTGCGCGAGTCTATGAGGAATAAGGGAATCATGGACAGCCCTCCAGCCCCTTCGTTGCTACCATCGCCGTCCACCAGAGTTGTGCACTTTTACTTCCCCCATTTGTTCCTCTTTCATTTTGCAACCTCTACTCTTGTTTTGTTGGTCTTTCATGCTTATTGATTTTTTAATACAATTTGGCATTTCGTGTTCATCTGTCCCTACGATGCCGTAAATCCATCTCCCCTGCAGAGTTCTTCAGCCAGCATCCAGAACTCCACTCAATGAATTATAACACGCAAACAGATGTCTCCAAGGTCCCAATACTCACATGCACCCCTACCCGCCTACGGAGAAATCAATCGCTACGGGTTAGGCCAAGAGATTACTGCTTTAACGTACCACCGACACCTAGACCGCAGAATTTGCCAACCCAGAGGCCGTTCGGGTGGGGATGACCACAAACTAGCTTTGTCATTTTACTCCAAGGGAGACTAGTTGCCCCAGACTCACTGGGGTCCTGTGTACCGGCCCTGACACCAAGGTCGGAGAATACACAGAGCAACCGAATCTGCTCAGATTGGGCCCTCCCTTATCTGCCACTCCGTCCGAACCAAACCAAGCACAAATGAACAATTGCACGTGACTTGAGCTTGGTGGATTTACTCGCGAGCCCAGACACCGACATATCCGTAATAACGAGAATGACCAGACGAGCCTTCGCCGCGTTATGGTGTTCGTGAACCCTACACTCTCGCCTTTACCCCTACCAACTTAAAGAGCAACACAAATAGCTCCGCTGCCCCACGAGATTTCGGCTTACGGCAAAACTAATGTACGCCTAGCAAGACGCAAGAGAGTCCGAGTGTGCGCCAATGGTCCACCCCATGATCACAATCTTGACGCGCAACCGGTAACCGCGCAAATGGTACACAATTGCAATGCACCTAAGAACAGTCTAAATGCGTCAAGTTGGAAATGATCCTAAGCTACAAGGTCAATCTTTACAGAACCAGCCATGAAAAATGGTCAACCGGCAAAACCTTATGAAGAGAAGATGTAACCATAGCATAACTCACTAAATTGAAAGGCCAGATAACTTCTATTATAAGTTACACACGAGACGGGTACAGCATAACCCGGATCCGTTTACCCATGGCCTTAGCAGGTAAGTTACGTTTGAATTGGGCACGAACCGCTCCGCTCCGACCGTGTGGTTTAATCACTTTGCCCCAGATAACGCGTATCCTGGTAGGATTGTGTCTCCGCGGCAAATGCTTCTTCCTAAAACACAATTAATATTGAGAAAATAAGATACTTCTGGGCGCGATAAACGTAAGCACATCGTTTGCCCATGTAGAATTCAGTTTCTTTAGCTGTGTTAACACCGTCAATCTTAAGAAGAGCCGTCTTTTCGTGCTGATTCCTAAGACCACGACGGTAGCCAGTGAAAACAGCCTTCACGTATAATCTACCAGGCTGTTTCTGTCTGACACGCTTCGTAGTAGCCACCGGAGCCTTCTCCTCACCCATGCTCAAAAAGAACCCGCCCACTAGGCAAATCAACCGACCCGGTGGAGTAGCTTTTAGCTAAGACAAACATTTTCAAACAGTTTTCAAGAGTAAAATAAAAAAGTTACTAGCTTTTTTTAAGACTAATTTTGACTATTAAGATAATGAGGATTTCGGGTATGGCATTTTTTTTATTTAAGCTGATAGTGACTACCACATGTTGAAGTACATTGTTAAAAAGATACTCTTAAAATTTTATTGGGGCTTTAACTGCATATTATAGTAAAGAATTAAGTAGCGAGTGATTGCATACCTACTCAGTACTTGGTGTACACCCATTAAACAAAGTTTTGTTTACGATTGTGATATGCTAACTCTTTGTTTAACCGTCGGTTTTGGTGAAGGTCGACCTAGCCTGCTCACCATGCCAGCAGTCTCAAGCCCCACTCCAAGTCGATAATACACACTATGTCCGAGTATTATTTCTTCTTTCATGATCAGGGATGCCATCAGGCTCCGCAATCGTTTTGTCTGTTCAATGCTAATAATTAAAAATTCATATTTTTGAAACCGACCATTAGACATACTACAAAGCATTCTTGTGTAGCGTGCCGAGATTCCCTAAAGACGAAAGAAGACAAAATACTCGGGCAGAATATAAATTCAGCGCAGAGAAGGTGTCTGGGCTATTGGCATGGCCCAAAAGGCCAGCCCCACCCAGCGAGGTACAAGGGAGGGATAAACCATAATCGTATTACACTTGTTTTAGTGTGTTTTTTGGGGTTGGAGGGGGTTAAAAAGTAAGCGGTTAGTGTTGGATCGGGCAGCTTAAGCACGGGGGGAATATATATATACAAACTTAAATCAGGATATTTGTACCCCCACAATAATTGCTGTCCAATATAGAATTCTTCCGTTTGACCCCTCCACTCATTTTAAAGTCTTGAAGGTAGAGATAAAAGAGGGAAACACTGGACTTTATACTATACTATTGCGCAACAAGAGGAAAACTCTAATTGCCTCTTAATTTCGTCCCAAAAATTTGTCCTGTTTTTCTAATGCATAATGATGTGACGGATTCAGCATTTCACTTTTATACTTCCTCTTTCAGGAATCCGTGAAGCAAAAAGCTTGCATATGGGATGCCATTATTATTCGATCAAAGCCATTGGACCCTTAAGATTATTATAACTAAGGGGGGACCGGTTTTTACTTTTGTAATACGATGGTAGTTTATCCCTCGGTTCTAGTGAAGTGCCACTTTTGTACTTCGAATTGGCTCCCTTGTACCTCGCTGGGTGGGCTGTCCTTTTGGGCCATGCCAATAGCTCAGACACCTTCTCCGTGCTGATTATACCTATTCTGCCCGAGTATTGCGTCTTCTTTCGTCTTCAGGGAGTCCCGGGACGCTACACTTTCTACTGGAGTTAGTGGCAATTTTTTGTTCGATGACTGACATGAATTGGCTGCTGAATTTTTTTACGGCGCGTGCAAAATAATACGCATTTAATGGCCAATGCAAATTTTTGGTTTTCGTGATTTCTGCCTTATTGTAGCCACTACAGGTCAGCATGCATTTCGCATTGTTACGGCTTGTTTCGAAGTTGGAAAATGTTTAAGGCCTTACAGTTACAGGAATACACTTTGAAGCAAATACCTCTGCACAAATAATTAACAGTAAATGTTTGCAAATTAAATTTAGTCAATTTCCGAAACTTAGCCGTCTAAATACTCCCTTAATGTATAATATTCAAAGCAAATTATATTATGCGCAACGTAGATATAGTGTAGCAACATATATGACTAGGTTTTATTTAATTTGATTAGTCGTCTTTTATTGTAGTAAGTTTTGCAATGAGAGGCATCTTTTGCATGAATCAAACAATGACTTGCAGAAAATGTAATTATTCCGGACTTCAGTAAACACACAAAGAGCTTGCCATCTCTCCTATACGTAGTTTTTGTACTAGTGTGATAGTTTGGTTGTTTAGCTCTCTGTTCTGCTAAAGGTCCACATTTTGTCTTGACCATTACACCTTCTCAGTGTAGGCTGGCCTCTCTGCCATGTCACTAGCCTCAGGTCTTGTTGTATGCTGAATATATATATGCATATATTCTACCCGAGTATCAAACCTTTTTTTCTTCAGAGAATTCTCGGGGCGATATATTAGTGTAATACAATGGTGGCTTACCCCTCGGCATTAGTGAGGTCCCACTTTTGTACTTTGAATTAGCCCTCTTGTACCTGACTGGGTGAGCTGGCCTTCGGGCCATGCTAATAGCCCAGACACCTCTGCGCTGTATATATATTCCGCCCAAATATTGTGTTTTCTTTCGTCTTCAGGGAAGTCTCGGGACGCTACATTGGTGACAGCGGAAAGCGGACCCGTTCTTAAGGGACATGTGTCTTGATTTCCTACTCCTGCATGATAAGCCTTAGTGGAGCGGAAGAAGTACATATTCTACGGATGGGAGAATGGTGATGATCCCTAATAAAAGGGTTGAAGTTGACATCTACCTTCGGTATCGATTCCAGTCCCGTGTTCTTCAGAAAAGCTAATAACAACTGAAGCGACACTAACCGTGAACCATTTTGAAGTTTCGTTACGGATCTTTCCTACCCTCCCCCATGGACCTGCCAGTGTTCCTACATCCATCTATGGACACGCATGATAGCGCAATTCCCCCTCCTGATTCAGGTTCCTAAACCAAATGAAACTCCAGATCTAGTTTAACTGCCAAGAGGGATCAGTGACGTTGAGGTCAAATATCTCCTCGGATGCACGCTGATTTGGTGACTGGCACAGTTGGTTCGCGGGTGTTTCTTTACAGCACTGATTACGTTGTAATGGATGACGTGGGAGGTTGACCTGCGGGAGCGCCGGAGACGACACTCACAAGAGGAGGGAAGCTATGTAACACGATAGTGGTTTATCCCTCGGTATTGGTGAGGCCCGACTTTTGTACTTTGAATTAGCCCTCTAGTACCTGGCTAGGTGGGCTGGCCTTTCAAGCCATGCCAATACCCCAAACACCTTCTTTGTGCTGAACATACATTCTACCCGGGTATTGTGTTTCCTTTCGTCTTCAGGGAAGTCTCGGACGCTACGTTAGAGGGTGGTTGTAAAATCATCAAACACTCAGTTCTCAACGGTAGGAAATAATAGAACCCTGGCCACTCTACAAAGTAGCACTGCGTATTGTAGTCTGATAAAACCAAATAAGCGACCTGGTGTGCCATGATGCGATATTATCCATCTTTGGATCAGGTCGGCTAGATCGTTTGTCAAATGTTATATTTTGGAAATTGATTTGATTCTTGTACTGGGCTTTTTTGATTCTAAAAAAGGGCAATTTAATTGCAAAACCAACTACGAAAACTCTTAAAACGCCAATTAGCACTAGTTTGGGGGGTACTCAATATCCTACAAATGAGTTGTTATTAATAATTTCGGTAAGGCTTTTCTTCATTAAAAACCTTGTAATTTAAAGATTGGGTTTAACTTTAAAATGCATAAATATCTTTTGCACGAGCTTTTGTTTGTTTCAAGCCAAGATTTGGATAAAAATTTATGGAACCATTGACCTTAGGTTTGTTTAATCTTTCCAAGCAGTGTAAGCGGCAATTTGTTTTGCGTCATTTTAAACTGTCAGCAATCTTTGTAAATGGAGAAATATCCCGCATTATTAGCAATACTATGTTTTATCAGGGCATCCTTACAGCAGGAACCCACATTATTGGAGGGGTCCGCAGGATCTTGTGTTGACGAATACGGGAAACCGGTGTTCTGCTACCCGCCATTCATTAGTGCCGCAGCGGGCCGTTTAGTAAACGCCTCAAATACCTGTGGCATTGCAAGAAGACAAAAATTTTGTATTCACATGTCGAACGCGGCAATGCCTAGCCGGTGTCAATACTGTGATGCAAGAAATCCTAGCGAAAGTCATGATGCTAGCTTTATGACAGATAGGAATCAAAATAATTGGTGGCAATCTGAAACAATGGATGAGAACCCAAACCTTCATTTTGAGAAACCAGTGACATTAACAATTGATCTGGGTACGTTTGGTCTCGGTTATTGGGTTTTAATGCTTACAATCATGACTGAGAATCCAGCTTTATATGTTTCGTACGTTATTCCATTATACTTCTTCATATACATTAAAAACTAACCCAGGCTCCTTTTATTTGGTTCTTTTTAAATATAATTGAGTGAAGAAACTGCGTGTTAACTGCTCTGAGGCATTTGATGCAGCCGCTGACTCGGGTAATTTACATTTTGTATTCTTTAGTTTGTTTACCATTATGATGGGTTCTAAATAGGTATAGTTTTGATCATAGTCAGTTGCACTCAGCAGAATTCACATGTTTTAGTTTATGCCGCAAAACCACTTTGCTAGGTACCAAGAGGTAAATAACTCCTATTTGTCGCCGGTGATATTGCTTCTAATGAAACTGTTTACTTGATTATACCCGGAGCTGCAGCTCCAAACATTGATTTTTTACGTGGCCACGAATAGCTGCAAATCTAAAAGAGGAATGACTGGCAAATCATTTTTATTCTATGTTGCCTTAATGCAGTTTTAAACCACGACACTTTAGATTAACGCCGCGTTTTATGGCTTACAGTACATTGTATCCATGTTGTCTTTTTACATGTTTTTTGAATGATTGTTCTTAAATATTCTGAACTCTTCAAAATATCTCCTACACCTAAGAATAGCTAGTTTATGGTAGCTTTTTTAAGAAACCTAGTCTTTTTTTAAATTATTTATTCGGTTTTTGTCTATATCTTGATTTTTACTCGAAGATATAGTTCAAACATTTCATTAAAAGGTTGGATAACTGTTTTTCTGCCTATTAATGTGGTTTTTATGTCACATTTGAGTTTATGCTACCTTATAGCATTCAAATGAAAAAGGTGCTACTCATCGTGCCCATTGATTGCAGAGGGAGCTTCGTAGTTTAACGTAACCTTAAAATGACTGCCGTATTCTACTACTTTTCGAGATATCATTAGCTTAAATCTGACCTCCGACCCTGGGAGACAGTAAACATTGCACTTGTTAGAGGTTATGCGATGTAAATCTCATGCTGACGAAATCGCGCACGTGTTTGTGCGCTCGTACGTAACTGACATCTGGCACTTGACAACAGTTAACTCTCCTGGTCATCTCAAATGTTTACGCCCATTCCGGACATAAAGGGTCTAAGGTGGTGTGTGAGGGGTGGAGACTGAAATGAGAAAAGCAACTGTGGGGTGTGCACATAGTTACAGGGTCCTTTAGCACATAAACATACATAAACAGTAAAGACTCGCGGGCCTCAGCCTCTGGGTCCACGGACACTTCAGTTTCTATACAAACGTGTGGATTTACGCAGCTTTTTTTAGCGATTCCTTAGCATGTTGGGTAGTGGAAGTTCTATATCTCTATGGAACACGTTTTTTAAACCCTAGGAAATTGCTGTAGTTAAATTAGTGAAAAGAAACCGTCTTTTGTGAAAGTCCATTGTGACTAATCATTAGAATGTTTATTAGCTTGGCTTTTAAGGTTACTTTTTAATTCAGTGGATTCACACCACAAAAATAAATACGAAAGTATATGCTAGCGTGGTCTTGAAGTGCTAGGACCTCACTCCCATATAAACAGAGGTGTCAAGATCGAGATATTGTAATGGAAAATGTTTGTCTCGAATTTGATGAAAACTTGTTAAATTTTTACAATGGTCTTATTCAGCTATACAAGCGAATGGGAAAGGTCAAAGGCTAAAGAAAAAACTGGTATATAAAGCACTGGACTATGCTGCAAATTCTATATAAACTACTCTTTGAATATTCATAACTTGATACCATTAAATGAATCACTTGTCCACAATTCTTTGGGTTTACAACAGCTTTATCAGTGCTGTCATCCCCCTTTCGATCGCGTAAATCAGTCGACTTCCATCAACTAGGTCGCAAGGCGATGCCACGCGACTTCTGCGGCCCGGGCCAAATTTATAAACTTGGCGGATATTCCCATATTTCAAGTGTAGGGCTTTACAGTGTAAATAATCCCACGTTCTAAGGCAAAACATGGTTAAAGACAAGAAATCTTGTTGTTTGTTTTTTCAAATCACTAAAGACTTGGTTATGTCATTTTTGGTGCATTCCAGACAATTTGTTGTTTGATTTCATAAGGAGGAAACACGTAAATATGCGCTGGCTTTAGTGCGTGAGAATGCTTCAAATATAATCCTCACCTTCTGGAATATAGTAATTTTCCCGTAATTTATTTTAAATTATTATCAATCTAGCATATCGTGTTGAGTCAGTCGGTTTACTCGTTTTATATTCCCTGATAAACTACCAAAGTCCAGCAGTTTTTAAGTGGATTCACAAAAGATCTTATTGTAGAATAGGTATACTTAGGCTCAGTGTCCAAGGTATCATTGGGTTGCCACCACTTGCATCACGCTGTGGGAAAACGGGGCTGAGGTTTTGAGGGCTATTTTAAGGAGAATTCTAAGGGTATGTTTTTATTTCTGAAGGTATGGACTTAAAAGGCAAGAGAGGAAGTTTATCCGGTGCACAGACTTGCCTTCTGTTGTTGGCTTTTCATTGATGTAGTCCCAAAAACAGTAGTGGCACTCTCTAACTTATCTGCAAAACACGAGGCTTATTTTCGACTTCCCTTGGTGAATTTTGATTATTTACGTTGGATTTGAATGTCAGATGTTGCCTTCGCCATCATTTACAGTAAATACGACTGAGCACTGATGTGTAGTGGATGCACCTGTTGATGTGGCGTCATGCTGCTCTCCTACTTGCCAGGAAAGGCAATTTGGTCTGTGAAAATTTACTTCATTATTAATTTCCCCGTGTACCATCATGAATTTCGCGTGCAGCATTCGTGTTCTATTTAGGAAATGTACATGCTTTGCTTTCGTGTATTTAAACCAGGGACGATTTAGCGTAAAACTAAATCTCAATTTGATCATTAATATATCATACTCGACAAAATCACTTTTTCCTGCTGTAATGCGACTTTATATACGCTTTCTCACTTTTAAGCAGTGTTTTTGGACACCTTTTTAGGTGGGCAAATTTTTCGCGAATTTTTTTTGCCTATCAAATAGTTTTATGAGCATAGCATTACCGTCATTGTCAACTCTTGGAAATTTGTGAACTAACTCAACATTGCCTCCAGTGATGTTGACTACTGTGCCATAAGCACTAGGAAAAATTTTGTTTTTCTACTTTTTTATTGTTTTGTGCTAAGACTAACAACTGCGGCAGTTTGGATAAACATTTAGGCAATAAAAATAGGTGAACCAGTCATAATAACTTCACAAAATTTAGGGAATATTCTGTTTTAATGTGGTACGGGATCTTTTGAGTAACAAGCTGCCTTCGTCGACAAAACCACATTGCTGCTGCCGGCCTTAAGGCGGATATTGTAGCATTATACGGTCCAACACTATTGTTGAATCTCTCAAAAAACGGTGCCTTTTGGCAATCGCGTCAGTAATGGGATTTGTGCAATCGTTCTATTTTCCCAAAGGCACCAAATTCTACGTGAACTACGTGTACCTCCAGTTCAAGTCGCCGCGGCCTCACGCAATGGTGATTTACAAAAAGGTGGACGACGAAGCACCTTGGACGCCGTGGGCCTACTTCTCCAGCAACTGCTTAACATACTTCAACATGACCTACGAACCCATGCCGACCTTCTCTCGGCCCGATGATGTCATCTGCCGCGAGGAGTACTCTACCCTCCAGCCGCTTTACGACGGCGAGGTCGTCTTCTCCGTCATCAACGGCCGACCCGGCACCGACGACTTCTTCCATAATCCTATACTTCAGGTTAGTGAGTTAGCCAGCACAGGCTCCTGGGTATTCTTAATTAAAAGTCTAGTGAGGTTGTAGAGGCACCGATATGGGTAGATATTGCACCTGCTTTGATTTGGGTTGAACCCTCGATTTGCCATACTAGAAGGAATCAAAACATGTTGGGATACTTGCTCAAATGGGACTGTATGGATGGATGCTTATTTTCCTAAAAATTAGGATTGGAGCACGGCTAGTCAAATAAAAGTGGAGCTACAGAAGATGCACACCTTCGGTGATGAAGCTAATGCGGAAAGTGACACCCTCTTGACCTACTATTTCGCCATTCGAAAGTTTACCGTCGGTGGTCGGTAAGTACGCCTCTTATTCTTGACTATTTAGCGCCATGCTTTTAACCCCGTACATTATTACTGACGCCAACTACTGAGGATGAAAATCCGGCCTCTGCCATTGCTTCAAGAACTATGACGTCTGAAAAATTAAGCTTACTTCAATTGCGTAGATATAGTTAGGTTTGAAAAAAGATGATATGCTCGTCATCTCTGTTATTTCTTCTGTCTATAAAGTACGTTCCCTTACAACCAGATGCATGTGCAACGGCCACGGTAACGACTGTCGCCCCGTGGGGAGTTACGGTCCAAACCCCAAGTTGGTGTGCGTCTGCGATCCTGCCCACCACACCGCCGGCGACAACTGCGAGCGCTGCGCGCCCGGATATGTAGATGCGCCTTGGCATCAGGCTACACCCGACAATCCTCACGCTTGCAAAGGTGTTCTAACTTCTCTCCTGCTCTCTCTTCTCATGCAGTGCAGCCGGAGTACTACCCTCTCAATTTCCTCTATCCTTGATTTTCATACAGAACCAAGACGACCAGAGACCAGAAGCAAAGAGACCTTCCCTAAATACTCTTGTTTAAAAAAATTACGAATTGAATGACTTAGGCTTTTAAATGTTTTTTTGGAGCACGATCAAGTTTTCTTAAGAGTAAATTTAGGTTCCAGACTGAACTCTGGCCCGAAAACGCCATGACTTAACAGCTTTAAACTTAATGCATTAATAGAAATAACCGGAGACCTAACTAAGACTGAGTACTGTCGCCCCAAAAGGAAATCCTTCTGCTTAGCGATTATCAGTTTCAGATAAACAGCGCGAGTTTTGGAGTTTCTTTCAGATCAAGACCGAATATGAGGCCTTCGTTGTTTTATATTGAACCACTCTTGTTAGCCAACTAAGTGAAATATGAGCAATTAAAATGCCTTATTGGATAAATAAAATCATCCTGAGGTGACGTCTTACTCTTGTTTAAGCCTGCGAGTGCAACGGCAACTCCGAACACTGTGAGTTCGACGAGGCCGAATACCGGACAACGGGATCGGGTGGGATCTGCATTGGTTGCGGCAACAACACGGTAGGAAAACACTGTGAGACCTGTCTACCTAGCCACTATCCCGACCCCGACCGACCCTCCGTCTGTCTCCCCTGTGGTTGTGATCCTATGGGAACGCTGGAGGGTGGAGAGGATAAGTGCTCCACCGACGGACAGTGCAAATGCAAACCGGGCGTTGGGGGCAAACGCTGTGATCACTGCCTTCCCGACCACCATTCTTTCACCTCCAGTGGCTGCCAGTGAGTTCATCGCTTATGCCATCTCATTGATACCTTTTACACCTCTAACCCATACTAATCTGTATTCAACGAATTTTCTAGACCTTGTAATTGCAACGCTGGTGGAAGCTTAAACAATCAACCCCAATGTGATCCCTACACTGGTGAATGCAATTGTAAGGCCAATGTCATTGGCAGGAAGTGTGACAAGTATGCTACTTATTAAGCATAAGTAGGTATATTCCTGAAACGAATATCACAATTGATTGCGCCTGCTTAAGATGCAAACCGGGTACATTTGGAATGATGGACAACGATCCCCTTGGTTGCAAACAGTGCTTCTGTAGTGGCCACTCATCAGAGTGTACACTGGGACGCGAGATCAGTGGAAATGTTGTACCAAGTGAGTTCTACTCTAACCCTGAGGGTAAAGTTAACCACGAATTCTATTGTCTCACCATTGCTCACTTCGTTTCTTCTAGTGGAAGAGAGCGAACTAAAAGCACTTGAGGAGGAGAAAAAGGCCATTTTTAGCTGTCCCAATGGAACTATTCCCTGTTCCGTCTGCTTTAAACAGGGTAAGTCGATTACCATAGTCATTTGTCAATACGTTTGGTGACCTCTTCCTCTGCATGAATTTAGACTACCGTCGAAGTTTCGGAGGGACTATTTTGTAAATTATGCATTTCTCTACAAATACCTGCAACTTTAAATGTATTTTTCAGACAAAAAGACTTTGGATATTGGGTGCACGCAAAACTACAAAGGAGAACTTGAATGTCTCTGCCGAGAAAGACCAAATGATTGTCCATTCTGTCCCAGTGGAGGTTAGTAATGGTCTAGCCTACTTTCTCAATGCTACTGCTACCACTATTTAGTAATTACAGATTTAGTGAGGTTCCAATAGGTGTCTAATTCAGACTCATCGCTCGTGTTATTGTCTTTTCAGTGTGGCTTGATCCTCAAAAAGATATCCGAAAGGAAATTTGCCAATGTCCACAAGGTTACACCGGTCCAAGTTGCGAACAGTGTGTACAGGGCTATCGACGTGAGCCGATCGGTGGTACTACCACAGCTATATGCATCCCCTGCACCTGCAACAATAACTCCGAAATCTGCGACCCTGAAACAGGTCCATTATTCCTGAACGAATGCTCGCCTTTACTACAATTAATGCTACTTTTAATAATTTAGGTAGACGTGCGCTTCTGTTCAAATGATGTATGTTCTTCCTTTTCCGATCCGATCAGGTAAATGCGAATGTCAGCACAATACAGGTGGCCTCTTCTGCGATCGCTGCGCCGATGGTTACTATGGCAACGCGTCTGCTCCCTCTGGCACCAAAGATGCTTGCAAACCTTGTCCATGTCCCCATAGTGCCAAGTGTGTGGAAACATTTCTCCCTCTGGACAAGCACGTCGTAGTTTGCGTTGACTGCCCAAATAATATGACAGGTGAAAATCTTATCAAAGCTCTATTTTTATCTACCAAGCGATTAAAAATAACCATTTCATGTTGATCTAGCGCTTTCTACTCAAAATGGGAAGTGTTTTTGTTTATTTGGTGTTGTATTTGTTCAGCTGTGTTAAACAATGAAGTTTTTATTGTGGTTGATATATATCAGTGGATTTTTGGACATGTGATGCAATATTTTCTCCTCTTAAACAGCTCCAGTCACTAATTGAAGAGAAGACATCCGGTTGAAATAACTCCAATGACTCGACCATTACTTGCTATTGTAAATTACGGAGGTCAATAAATGTTACTGTTGGTGACGTTTTAACAATCTGATTAGCTGAAGGTCTGTTGAATGATTTTGGCCATTTTTTTCAGAGTGACGTGACTTCGTATCTACTTCCCGTGAAAGTTTGCATTCTGATTGTTGGTCCTACGGCAAATAAATGACCTGGGGTGATTTAATTTTATCCAGCATCTACGAGACGCCTCCGCTCAAATTCATACCGTTTCCTCACCAAAGCTGTACCCTCGACTGTACCAAAAGGTTTTTCCAATTTCCAATCTAAATGCAAGATGGTTGAACACTTTTTTTGCTAATTCGAATTTAATTTTAATGAGGAGTTTTCATTGAATCCCTCTTCCCCATTTTCGTGTGTTAGGGAGTATTTAAGGAGGCCTTTTTGTCAGGTAATCGTTCGGCACACATCAGGTTGCCATTCTTTCCAACGCTTTTAGTTTAATTAAAACGGGCAACTTCTAAACGCCTAGATCAAACTGCTCATATTATTAAAGTCATCTTGCTTTTTTGCGCGGATATAGGTTGCCTTAAAACCAAACTAACGCACTCGCGCCGGTAAATATAGCAACCCAACAATTCCCGTGTTTGTTTGTGTGAAGGAAAAGGGATTGCGAAGGTGAAGAGAAAAACAGCCTCTGCATTATAATCAGCGTTCTTAAAGTGAAACCATTACTGATAGCATTTCTGATTATGTTGCAAAAGGTTATTTTTATTAGCTTCATAAGGCATGTACCGATGTCTTTGAATTTTATTTCGCCTCTCCATTTCACTTCGGTACAAGCAGGAAGGCATTTTACAGTTTTCTGCTGAAAAACATCAAATCCGTTGTGTAAAACTGGGGCAGTTATCGGGGTGGGCAGAACAGAAGCTAGAAAACGTTTACCCAAATCGAAAGTTACATGGGGAAAAACAAACTTTGATGGTCTGTTTTGTTTCCTCCCACTTCCTCCCAGCATAGCATTAGTTTAAATTCTATTTGGTTCAAACAGAACAAAACGTTGGTGCTTTGGACTGCCTGATGCATAGCAATAGTTCGGGTGTCTCAGCTTCGCAATAAAGCCGCGGGGCCTGCAATTTGGGCAAAAAATCCACCAGGTTCGATGGATTTGGCTAGAAGTGATTAATTGACGCGCATGCAAACTCACAAAGGAGGCGTCTGTTCAGTCGCATAAGCACGGATTCCTTGTCTTATTTACCTAACCAATGCTTGGTACAGAAACGCAAGCATTGCATAATGCCTTCGTGTTCTGCTTTGCGCTTTCCATCTTTCATGTAACGACGAATAACACTTTTAAAGTTTGTAAGGACAGGAAACTCATTGGCCATTAGTTAGAACCTTACTTAAATTTGCATGCTAGGGTCGTTCAGTAGAAAAATCGTCATTTATTTTATTTATCGGTGATCTGTATGTTCAATTCTCTAGCCCCTTTTTCGACTGTTCACTCATTTCTATATATTTAATACGATATGGTTTTAGTAGACAAAAACTTTTTCTATAGGTCTTGCTCATATTTGCCAAATCAACACGTTTTCTACTATGTTCATGCCAGAAGGGTTGAAAGGAAGTCGGGTTGATAATACCATTCAGGTCAAGTGATTAAGAGCGATTTCGAAGTGGCATTTTTTCACTTACTCGAACGGAACCCTTTCCTTTCTGTTTAAAGACACAAAAAAATGGGTAATAATTGTGTATTCTATGACATTTCGAATTACGCCACCGTCAATATTTATGGATGAGATGGGCCTCTTTTCCTAGGTGTTGTTCACAAACCAATAACTCTATTTAATCATACGGATTGCAACCCAATAAGTTTAAAGTCTTTTAATTAGTCGTGGTGAATGTAGTCCTGACCTTCTGGAGAAAATTGATGGTAGATGCTAATTGGTGATCATGAAATCCCTCATTCGGTGTTTTTATGGCTCCTCAGTAAATAATAGTGGCAAACTGTTCTGAGCGCTTACTTACCAAGGAAAATAGGAACCAATTTGAGCAATTAGGAAGGATATTCCCACCAAGTAAAAGTAGTTGACTAAAATAGGTGACAGACGGTAGTTCTCGTAAAAGAGAGGGCTCCACTCTGTTTGGTGTAAACAGCAATTATCCCATCAACTATGATCACTAAGTTGGTAATTACAATGCGCTCTTTTTACCAAACCCCCTTCGCTGGAATCGTATAATTCTCGCAACTGATAAATTATAATTATTTTTGCATTTTCTTAAATAAGGTCAGCCAGTTGTCAGAACTACTTGTTCTTAAAATTCTGCTTGGGTCATTGCAGCTTACATATTCCGATTGATGCAAAGTGCAGCTTTCATAATATGAGAATTTTTTGTAGCTTTGAGTGAGCGATAGTACTATTGTGTTGAATTTTGTGTGTGGAGCGCATGGAATGAAACTTTTTGGTAGTTTATCTCATTCGGTGATCTTTCGGCCCTCGATGAATACTCGGCCAAAGGTACAACCGGTGGCGTTCTAACAGACAGTCTCTTATTTTATGAATAGGTGATCGTTGTGAAAGATGCGCAGAGAACTTCTTTGGTGACCCCGTGAACGGAATTCCCTGTCACCCCTGCGATTGCTCAAATAACACGGATTTGCGAGCCACCGGCAACTGTGACCCGTAAGTCCCGCATTCCCATCCCTCACACTGCCCCATTTCTATACTCAGTCCTAAAGAACAGCCTCAGTGTTTCTACAAATATTAATAAGAGGAAGTATCAAATTGAAGTCTTTTTCACTTGAGGTAATTATTCAATGACTTCTAGGTCTGGAGAATACTATTTAAAGCTGGAACTCTATATTTCACAAAATTTAGGTGCACCAGATTATATTTCAAATTTGAAAACAAGTTAGCATTTAATTTAATGGAACTGAACTAAGTTAATTGCAAAAGTATAAACGCATGAGCTGAGCAGACCTGATAATCTCTGGTTGCAGGGTAGCAGCAAATATGGTTTGGCTGTCGACATTCAGGTGCCCACGTGTCAATAACCTGGCATTTAGCATTCCGCCTCTCAAATAAAATACCAATCTAAAATAAATTGCTTCACACAAGAGTGGTTGAATGACACACTTGTAAAATATCCAACATTAAGCAAAACGGGGGTCTGCCAGAAGTGTCTATTTGGAACTGCGGGCGATCACTGCGAGAAGTGCCTGCTGGGTTATCGGCGCAACGTAAAGAAGGCAGAGGAGGGCGCTCCGATGGAGGGTAGTGGTGAGACGGAGACAACGTACGCGCGAGGCTGCCAACCCTGCTACTGCGACCCTCGGGGTACCCTCGCCATGCCCGGAGTCGAGGGCACCCTCGGTATTTGCGATGAGGAGACCGGTCAGTGCCCATGCAAACCTGGCGTCACTGGACTCCGCTGTGATCGCTGCCGCGATGGTTTCTATGGTCTCGAATCCGGCAAGGTTGGTAGCTTCCCTCCCTCTGTCCCTCATTCTAGACGGTTGGGATATGCATTCATACTCTTAGTGAGTAATGTGTGCATGAAGAGGTAAATGTATTAGTTTATACCGGAAACCAGGTCCTATTATTTTGCTTTTCCCAAGAGCAATACATAGTTCGAAATGATCCGATGTATCACACCCTTTACCAAACGCATTAACTGTTTTTCTTCCTACCGTGAAAAATTTGATTTTTATTGGAAAATGGCGAGTTTGCAATGCAGTTTTATGGGGTGTTGTTTCGTTTACGCTAGGTGTAAACACACCATCATTATCAGGCAAGTGTTGGGAGGCAGTGACTGATAAAGAAACTAAACTTGATTATGCAAAAGCATTTTAACTCACTGTCGATCCAGAGTGTACATTTTACATGCGTAGCCTTAGCTCTCCATGACTTCCACCCATTTGCATAAACCCTTGGGCCCTACGCATAACCAGTGGGCTAGAAGGAGGTAAACTTGGCTGCTGGTGCCTGAAGAAAGAGGGGAAGCTAGCTGAATATGACTACGATTCAGAGAAGAACTTAACGCACTCCTGTTGTAGCTTGACAAAGCAATACCATGTAATATGCTTTGATAAGGCGAGTCTTACCGACAGCCCTCAGAATAACCTTTGTCTGAACTGGAATAAGCTGGATTAAGGGTTTTGAGAGCATGAAGCAGGGAAGTTGTGAATGCCAAGTATTCGGTACTTGCCTTACGCCTGCTTCAAAACTGCTTATTTCAAATTTCCAATGAGTGGTGTAATATTCCTCGGCCAAAGTTTGCAAAAAAATTTCAAAACCCAAATTTCGTGATTTTAATTTACCAGTCTACTTTTTTTCATTGAGTACTATAAGGTATAACTGATTCGATAAACACGTTTAAACTGTCTCATGATGTTATTTAGACGCACTAAAAACAAATTCTAGGGCGTAGTAACAATAATACTCCAATACAAAGGATAATCACCCCATTCTATTACATTTCGGTGGCTTTGATGTACTGTGATGTTCGCACGAACATGAAGAATGCAATTGAATGAAGTACGGTGGTCAAATGAATCAACCGCACTTGTACAATCGATGGATAAATGAATCTACTTTTGTATTCAGCTTTGAAGTACCTACTTTCCAGAGGAAATGTGTGGAGATTAATCAGTCAGGTAGGGTAGCGATTTACGGTAGATCAGGTGAATACAGGGAGTAACTCAAGGATTGCGTGGTTTAACTCGTAAACTGAAAAAAAGGAAAATTGAACACGGTTTATTTGTTGTGCAGGTATTGAGGAGATGCGAAACGATTACTGGGGAAATCTCAGGATTATCAGTAGGGAGTCAAGCAGGGGATGATTAACATTTTTGGCCATTGGTGATAACCCTGGATTTTTTAGTAAGTAATTAGAGTTGGATGCATCATCAACTGGACAATTAGCTGAGTAGTCTCATCGGCGTCTTGTAAAACATGCGCATGTACTACGACAAACTAGTCTATGGGGTTGTGTTTTAAACGGATCATTTTTGGATTAAGTGAGTTTATTTCTCCGTAAATTTGTTGTAAGAATGTTGAAGGAGAGAATTCTATTTTTATTCATGATTTCTTTATTTTCCTTTCACCCCATCATCATCCTAAAATAACTTTTTGGTATAACGGACCTTAGATTACTAATGGAATTAAGGCGTGGACTCGTTCCCTTGACCAAGTACATAACATGCATCTATCCTACCACTTGAAATCTCTTCTGTTCCCCTTGCAGTACAGCCAGACAAGTTGCAATCTCCTAACAATCTCAAATGCTAAAGTAAACTAGCGTGTTTTGGGGTGACCCTATTCTGAGTTAGATGTCCCCAAAGGCGGCCTTGTAAGGAAACGCGCGCCTGGGCGCACACACGCACTCCCATGCGCCCCTTCCCCCCTCCCCCCGTAAGGAGTGGCTGCGGAGTGGAGAAGGCGTGCCCTGTTTGGGTGCTTTCTGGGACGACGAAAATCAGGGCCAATTGCTTCATTCCTTCTCCTCGGCGTGAATTGTTCCACGCCAGTGGCCGCCTCGGCTCTCTTCAAATTAGCCACTGTCAATATCCACGTCATGTATTTGAGCATTCCGAAGCGTTTCTAAAATCTTCCAAAATAAACCTACCTTAATATGTTTTTTGTTTTATAAAGTGTTACATAAGTTGTTAATAAGTTCAGAGACTGAAAATTCCTCCTGATTAAGTAGTTCTTAGGTATAGCTGCGCTTATTCCTCACTCCAACTCGGTTATCATTTCTTATTCACAAGAACGATTGTTATTGTATGTATTGCAGGGCTGCACGGAGTGTGGCTGCAGTCCAAGGGGTTCCAAGGTGGAGTCGTGCGAACCCTACACGGGCCAGTGTAACTGCCTGCCCTTTACGACGGGTCGGACGTGTGATGAGTGTTTGCCGGGCTACTTCAACCTCACCACGGGCGTGGGCTGTCAGGACTGCGGATGTCACCCCTACGGATCCACCCACCGCCAGTGCAACCCCAATGGACAGTGTTCCTGCCGATCATTCGCCATTGGGAAGAAGTGCGACCAGTGCGAGGTGAGCCGCAGTCCATTTTATGAACACGCAGAATAGACGAGGGTGCATCAACAAAATTTGGCATCGTACGCGGTAATTCATGCAACGTAAATAGCGAAACTGAAGGTGTAATTTGAGGATAGTGATTAATTTAGACAGCATTTTCGTTGTGCTTAGCTTATTGTGGTTTTGGCTGAGTACATCGAATGAGAATTGATAACAATAAAAGTCCTTTTAGATGAAAGTAGGAACGTTCTTTTTTGGCTTCCATTAACCATGATAGGGAACAAGATTTCATTGTGACCTCTCAAATAGGCCCCACGTCCTCATTGCACTTTCCAGACTCTGTGTAGTAATCAATCTTCAGCAACATCAAGTGACTTGAAACTCATTATAATCCTCTTCAAAACAGGTTTCAAGAAAATTTTAAGTAGTAAACTTATTTTTAACAAATGAAGGCTTACCCTTTCAACCAGTACTCTGAGATGTGGGCGTTAATATGTACTACCAGGTAATATATTTCTCTCATGAATGAAACCAAATAATAAATTTCCTCCAGATTTCAGCCGCGAATATCACTGTCAGACTATTTACTAGTTCCGATTAGCAACACCTCCATGCTTGTTCTTTGTACATAAAACTGATTTTAACGCCAACTTATTTTCTCAAGCCGTTTGTATTTGATTACACCATTTACTGATTCGGGGACGGAATGACACTGGTCCTTATCCCCACGCCCATGGGGGTCGTCCTTCAAATATGCATCAAAAGATATTCCTCTTAATGCCACCATCAGCGATTGTTAATAAAACGTGTGAAGGTGCATTCGACGGCTTGGGTGAGGCTGCAAGAAGAGCACTGCACTGTCATTATTGCAAAAAAAACACCTTACTATAGTAAGAAGTACAATATTTTTCACAGGAAAATCGCTACGACCTCAGCGCGGGCTGTCTGCCCTGTCCGCCTTGCTATGGCCTTGTGCAAAAACACGTCCACGAGCTGCAGAAGAAGCTATCGGAAGTATTTGGCAGCGGTGATGGTCCCGATCTTGATGACAGCGGCGACACTTCCAAACTCTACGAGCAAATGAAAAAGCTCAACAAAACCGTTCAAGAAGCCTACAATGCTGTTTTGCAGAACAGTCTTGGTAGGTTTCCAAATGTCAATACAAAGGCGAATATCACTTCCTCAAATGCTTGTTGCGATTAGAAAGAGAGGATACAACTCCTCTATTTTTGTCTTTTATTTATTCAGTCAGTTCTGCTATCACAAATGCCGAACATCTGGAGGCTACGGCTGAAGAGCTCCTGAAACGTGCATCAGACCTTACCAGGGAGTTGGAGGAATACGCAATGCATAAGGTTAGCTCAAGAGACCCCTTTGACTCCTCTTAATTAAGACTTCTGAAGCTAAAGTGCTTCCCCTCATGATATCTTCTTCCACTGTTAAAATATTCGTCTGGCTTAATAGGTCTAATGTTTTATTAAGTAGCACTACAATTGCTGTCTCTTTATCAAGGTTTTACCTTCCAATTTTCTTTTAACAACGCTTCAGCTCTATTTTTGTAAATCTTCGAATGATCCCACAGGTGGTACATTTTGGCACTACAACTTTAATGGAGGAGGTCCTCAACCTCTCTTCTTCGTCCACCCAATTCAGCAGCACGGATTTACTTCAAAACTCAAACCTCAAATTCAGGCTTGATTAATTTTGTTAGTAATATCCCGGTAGTGGAAATACGGGTCGCTGGTCTCAACAGGACAATTTCTGAATCGTTATTTCTTAGGCTATCGATGTTTGAATGGATATACGTATTTTTATTTCACTTTACTTTTTGAGATAGATTGAGATACATTTAAGACAACATTTTGGGAAGCTCAAAATACTGTCGTAGTAGTACTCAAAATCTTTGCAGAAGTTTCACAAATTTAACCTACTCTAATTATTCAGCATTCGTAGAATTGTTTGGAAAAAAAATTATTAGGTGGACTTTAATTGTGTAAGACGATACTCGCCAAAATTCGGCGCGACTCAGTTTTCGCGAGGGATGCAATTCATTAACAGCCATTTGGCACATTCAGCCCTGTCTTACATTTGGTCGGTGTATGGGTTCGGGTGAACATAATTTAATGGGTATTCCGAACTTCAACTTGTTGTTGTTGTTGCCGATGCTATTTATGCGGAGAGCGGCAGTCTCACCTCGTGACCAGTCCGGTCTCCCTACCTCAGTAAACGACAGGTCAACCCGTTTCCCATTCACACGTGATTTGCTTGTCAGCTCACGTAGGCTGACATATTGCTAATTGGATTGCAATTTTACATCAGTAGTGGGTATATAGATAGATCGCCAAGCCCAAATGGGCATAGCAAGTGTTCGGTGTCAATCAAGCGCTCTTGATCGCCTGATTTGAGGATGCATGTACGATTTTGGGGTAATGAGTTTGCTAGATAACTGGAGCAAAACAACTAACCTGCAAATCGCCAGCCCTCGACCCACTTACAACCCCTACTGGGCCAGCTACAGGTCGTGGGATGAATTGAGGGGAATGTGTTTATGTCAAAAATGATGTATGACAAATTCCTTGGAGGAGTCTTATTCTGGATCAACATCTCCTTGACCTTCCATGGCAGATAATCCTGTTGACAACATAGCTTTTTCCCGCCCTCAGCAAGACAATGTTGGCGTGGATTGTTATTTTAAAATTGTAAAACAGTTCACTTTCTTCAGTTTTTTTAATGAAATGAAGTAAATTTGCCCAACATATTTTAATGGAAACGGCAGTGACACCATCTTGCAGGTAGGTGGTGCTTGTTTTAACTTGCTAAAAAATATTTAAAAAACCAGCAGCTACCTTACATAATTTTTTGCTTCGTTTGTCCGCACACTTTGCCAGAGATAAGGAAGTAGTGAGAATTTAGTCTTGCCTTTATGACCTTGAGATTAGCATAAAAGTTTCGAGAACGCATCAACAATCCGTCCATCCGACCAAGGCAACGCTTCCTTTAACCCATTGTCTTTCCATTAGCAGTGGCTAAACTGTACTTGCTTAAGTCCCCACTCTGCACAATTATGGAAATTCTATTGCCCTTTTGCTGTCATCATCGTCATCGCCATAAGATGTTTAAATAGGGATGTTGGGGTAAGACTTCTTGCAAAACAAAAGTTTTCAAGCGGCAAAAGAGTGAAATACATTTCCCCGTGTTTCAGAAATGCATTTAAAGCATTCTTGGGTAAGCACAAACAGTGTGCAATTCGACCAGATCACACAGTGTACCTCAAAAAAATATTACACCTGAGATAGTCTCAGATTTTCATTATAGAGGAACTTTGATGGCGAATCTGGTGGGCGAAAATTCATATTTTAAATGAACTACGAGGCATGAAAAGTGCCCTTGTCCATAACTGTACCACTGGTTTAATGCCCAAAATGCGAAAAAATGTTGACATTTTTGTCCGTCAGGAAATTTGCGAGACAAGATCTAAGCCAATAAAACTTACACTCAGGGAACCTTCCGCTCATGTCAAGTCGGCAATTTACAGTGTTGACTTGCGATTTTTAAGCATCAAGAATTTGAAGGTGACGGAAGTACATGACCATGCAAAGTGGTTACTTCAGTACGGAACGGCTCATTATTCCAGGAATGGCTCCAATCTTAGTTTTACTATTTCACTTTCGACACCTTTTTGGTCAATCAAATCTGTTGGTAAAGCGCATCTATTAGCAATGAATTTTAATGCAGTTCCGGATAATGTTTTATTTTTTCCTATTTTCAAAGGGACTATGAGCCTGACTTGAATGTTGTAATTTAGTCTATATGTTTACCTTTTAAGCCCTCTGGTACTAATGCAGGGTATTTTTTCGTCAGAAGCCAACTTTAGTTTGGATTTGAAAATGCTTAAATAGGATCATGACTGCAGTAGATTTGTTACTCAAAAATTACCTGCAGAGACAAGTGAAATTTGGAATACGATAATCCTCCTAATTACTGCACGGTTTGTACTGTTAGAAGATATGGAGAGATAATGGCTTAAGTGTGGCCACTTTTTCCACTTAAAGTAATTCAGTGGCATCAAACGGGTGTGGTTGTAATGTTGCATTTAATGAAAAATCTGCATCGCCAACAGCCCTCATGCATGCGTCCGGATCTACCGCAACGATTGGACTCGTTGAAACGCAATCTGGGCAAACTAGACGAGCGGATCAAAACAGTGGGTCAACGAGAACTGGATAGTTTCGCTGAGAAAGTGGGTGCCTCCGTAAATAGAGACAGCACTCTGACCGAACAAGTGCACAATGCAACCGAAACTGTCAAACCGTGGGTTCTGTTTATAAATTCTCCCATAAAATCCCCTATTTCACTCAGATTTACCTTCAATTTCCTCTGTAATAGATGACCCCTTATTCACCAATTTTCCATGATGCACTTTTTATCTTACCCCAAAGCAGACCGATTGTCATTTTTTAATTTCGACGGATTTCTATCACTTCTTTTTTTACAAATGAAGCGAATATAATTTATACATCCCAAGGGAAAAAAGGTAACGCACGATCGAACAAGACCACCGGCTTTAAATGCTGTTCCTGACTATGGGTACACAAAAAATTTTACATCCATTACCTTAAAAACTGCACGGTAATGAAGGTATTGATACGAAGTGAAATCCAACACAAGCTTCGTTATCAGCCATTAAATTTTACCTTGATATTATCGGAAATAAACTACTTGAATTTTCATGAATTACTAAATATGCATGCCTTCAAAACTACTTTCTGTCTGGTGCACGTTCAATGGGTTTGTTGTAAATTGCATTTCAGTCTCAAAGAAGAGGCTTCCAAACTGCGAAAGACAGTCCAAGATATTGACACAATCCTTCGTTTTATTGAATTCGATGCTGATAAACTGGGGCAAAGTACTCACAAAGCTTTTGAACGACTCAATTCGGAACTTAGCAGGTGCACTTTTACCTTTGCCTTTTTACGTGTTTTTGGGATAGCTTTAAATGCTGGTACCTTCAGTGTAGTTAGTCAGAATAACATTTCAAACTAACTTGCAGTGATCTTGTTTGGTAACCCTTACCACTTTTTTGGTGGCTGCGACATTACGAAAGCTAAACTGTGAGGTGACATTGTCCCTTAGATTGAAGGAAGTTATGGCGGTCCAGAAGGGCTCTCTCAAAGGCAAGATTGACCACGTGCAGTTCCTAACTTTGGAGCAACGTCAGCGATTGACAAAACTATTTGATACTTTGAAGAAGGTGCCAGACGTGAGTGCTGAGCAGTCCAGGTTGGAAGAAATCCTTGAGGACTGGACTGCATCTCTCAATAAGGTAAATCAATTTTCCCTACTATAATGCATGTTTTTCAATGAAGTTTGTGAGGATTTAGCATTCAAAATCTACTGATGATCCATGAATGCCTGTAAACGCTAAATTTTTTAAAGTTGTCAATTAAAAGGCCCGAATTTAGCAAATGTGATCGTTTAACTCCATTGAACCCCTTTTACAAAAGCTTAAAGCCTCAACTTCGTGCAAGGTGTGTGGCTTTAGGCTATCCACATAACCTTTCTGTCTCTCCATTGTTTACCGACTGTTGACGTTGTGGATGCTGGTACTGTCTGAGTGATAATTTATTATTTATCATTGTTTTTTGAAGAATAAATTACTTTTATTGACTTGCCCAGCGTCACTCCATGTCATCAGGAGGTAAACAAGGCAAGTGTTTTAAGTACTCCGTTATTTTAGCGACAAGTGGGGCGATGCTGTAGCTTTTGTGTAAACCTTTGTTGAGTGCCTATTGGCCGAACGATTATCGCTAAAAAGATGTTTTAATTCTTTTTTTTTAACCGGGGAATGCTTTTTCGGTTTAAAATTAGCATCTTAAATCCCATTTTCTTATTTTATGGCCATTTCAAGACAATAGACTTAATAAGTTCCCAAATTTGATGGCTCCATGAGATAAACTGGCCACGCTTTAATCGGATCGTTGAATTTAATCTTCTGGATTGGTGATGATTTGTACAGTTTGGCGAGTTTGGAAGCATATTTCTCACCAAATCGGTTCTGTATTTATCCTTTGAAAATGGGAAGACGATAACTCAGTCATTTAACGAAAATGAGCTGCAAATGAGTCCTCTGTTCCGACTGCGCATAAAAAATGCAAATATGAAAGTGTTGGATACACTTTGAACTAAGATCTTAGTTTACTGGCAGCCACTTGCCTCCTCTTACTCATAATCGCGATTCCTCACGATAGACGCAATTTACACTTTGAACTCAGCGCCATAGCAAATCAAGCCAAACCGTCCATTTCGAAACAAATTCATAGGTGCTCTGATCGACTACTTGTTCAGCTTTGATGAGTGAGGCTACTTTGATGCAGTTTTTATTCTATGATATGCACTATTGGCATGGTTTGGGGTGTCGTAACAATCAGTCTAACTACCAAACTAGGAAAATCCAACAGTCAAAACAGCTACTGCTGACAGATGCGAAACCCCCATAAATTCTGCCTTGCTGGGGCATCTTACGGTGCTTGCATAAAGATATGACAGCAGACATAAAATGAAGTCAGGCCTTACTGATGCATGGTATATTTCACTTAGGAATAAAATAGGCAATCTACAAGCAGTTCGATAAGACGCCATCAATTTTGCCATAGATTGGTTGATTATACAGTCAAATTTCATGGGATTCAGGGTGAAGCGCTAATGATGACCGAAGAAACATGATTTCCCTCCCATTATTTTATAGCCTTTCACAAGTAAAGTATCTAAGCAATGAACTTAAACGCTTAAGAAGCCCTTTACGTAGACTATCCATCCCTCAAATCGACATAGCACAGTTTGGCATAGTTTGATTAATAGTTTTGCTGTCATTCCACGTAGCTATGGTTTTTTTTTTCGAAACGCTGTGGCTAATTTATGTTTTGTGTCATTTGTTTCTATCTCGGGTACACTTCATCAAGCCTGTTAATCGCTGCGGCGACTAGGTCGGCGGTCATGATAACCTACCTGCAAATCCATCAATGCCTTTTCATTCGCATTTATTTCTAATCTAGAGGTATTTCAAGTCGCCTTTTGACTTTCATTTCACCTCTTCATTCGTTAATCGCTTTTTCGCTTTGTTTCCACTCTTACCAGGATTAGAGAATTTACTCCAGACCCAAGTGATGTCATCTCGTAGGAAGTTGATATACTAGAGAGCTTCAAAAATACATTAGTAGATTATCAATGCAACAGCTTGATTTTTCTGGTGCTGGCAAAGCTCATAACATTTCTTCTGACAAAATCCAACACTTCTACATACACTTTATCAGAAAGCATCCAAAGTAAATTACCTTTCCTCGTGATCTCTGCCACTTATATGATTTGTTTTTAACCCCAAATTTAGTCTCGCGATTTGAAAATAATGCTTGAGACTGAGACGAGCGTGATTGAGGATCACATTGAGAAAATGCGGCGAGGTCGGGATCGTCTGATAGCCGCCCTGGCCAGACAGACGCCGGTGGCAGAGGAAAAGGCACGAATTGTAGAGCGCCTCAAACACCTGCTCAATAAATCCGAAACAGCCGTTCAAACCGCCCGAAAGGCTGTGAGGGATGCTAAGCAGCAACTAGAGGATCTCACAGGTACAATTATTCAAATGAATTGACTATGGTGGTTCCTGTACCCTCACTCAGTCAGTAATAAATGCTCCTGCTAGTCGAGATGCCATGGAACCTAATCCATTATGGCGAATAAATAGTCAATTTTTTGTTATCTCAAATTCACCAGGAACCTTTTTCCACTGTCAATAGTTATCCTGTATCCAAAACTGGGCGATTACTGGCATTCGATTGTTCTAGATACTTCGATGAATTTTTTTATTAAGCCAACAGGGTTTGCAATTAGTTCAATTTCCCAAAGTAACAATGTTTTGGGTACTCTTACTGGTGGGGTAGTCATTATTTCTCACATTTATGTATTACATGAGGATGGAATGACCTTGTTAGAAACTCCTCTTGGCACAGGGTCTTTATTGAAATGATGAAATCAGTGATGCGTGCGATTGTTCATCGGTCTAAACATTGCACACCTTCAAGTGCCATTCCATGTAAGGTGTTTGCTTTTTTGACCTCAACATACTGCAAGCTGCAAAACTTGCCACGTTAGCTTCTATTGCATGGGTGGGCCTTGTGCCTCTACGATCGACTACGCCAGTGTGCTCTTCGGTGTGTAGTGTGGTGTTGAAATTTACCTAGTGTTTAATGAAGCGCTAGACAGAGTGGTATCCCAACCCCACATTTTTAGACGAAAAAAACCAAATCCACCTAAGCAGTGCTACATTATTCATGTCTGTTACCATGGTTACATCAATGACGTAGCATAGCCGATTCGAGCGGCTTGCACATCTGTGCAGCCATGTAAACCAAATCCCATTTTCACCCACTTTCACTTTTTAACACAAAATATGCGTTCATTTGCATGCATCAATGAGGGGCAATAAACGTCTTGTACTCTTGCAGATTTCGATGCCTATGTCGGCCGCACCAAACAGGAGTTGGAGGCGATGAGTGTTATTGGCACGGAGATCAGCGAGGACCTCGAAAAAATCGACAGACAGATTCAAGGCATCCATGTTCAAGTTGATGATGCTCTCAATGCAGCTCAAGTCTTACAGACAACTGTAGCTTTTTACGACGACAAAATCAAGAATCTGAAGGATGATGTAAGGGATTTCGTCCTTTGTACCCGAAAGAGTCCTTACTACAAAATGTTTTTTAAGCCGTTTTTTAGTGCATTCCTTAAATCTACCCAGTACCTACCTGGTTTGCGCCACTGAAAGAAATGACACGTCATTTCTTAGCAAGTTTGTTTGCCGTGTTGCATTTGCTATACACATTTAACATCAAATGAAATATTTCCAGACACTAAATTGAGTCCCTCACTTAATGGAATACCTTCACTATCAGTAATATGCCACGAAAGCGGAAACATTACACTCTTATCATCAAAAGGTCGGCAATGCCTACCGATTCTTTCAGTTTTTGTTCGTTGATACTGCATTTCATTTAACAAACAGAGGTTGTTATCGCATATGGGCTCAGACGCCTTGTATGCTTAAGTGTAAATGGCGGGTGAAGGACGTCTCAGCGCGGTGGTACTTACGCCTCCAAAGACGTCGACACTGGAGGCTTGTTTGACCTCTCCGGCTATTAGGTGAATTAATTGGGTGCATGTGTTAATTCTCATCGTAAGGCTGTCAGTGCTGCTGGGTGGGCAGACGTATCCATGCTGCGACCTGGTTTCCGGAGTCGGTGGTTGTGGTTTTGTCTGGTCTACCCTCGGCACAAAAGTAGGGAATGCATGCTACGCTTTCGTTTTGACCTTGTGACCACATCTCGTCGTCTGAAACATGTATTTTGATAATGAGCTGACCTGGGTTTTGGCTATACTTAAGTTGGTTTCCTCAAAATGCGCTTGTCACCTTTCGAGAACAAGCAGTCATGTCTCAAGTCGTAGAAATCACCCAAATACTGACTGTGTTAGTATGTGACTATAAAAACATGGATAAAGTAAGAATTTGAGACCACATTTGTGTTTTACCTTGGAGAGTAATCACGGATTGTATCGGCAAGAGTATTCTAAATTTAGGCATAAAAGGCTCTTCCGAACACATCATGATGAAGTTCACCGGCAAATCAAACAGTTTTATGTAAGGACTAATGCGTGTATATGTGTGCCACTGCTAACAGAGCTACTTAATGCGGTCAAAGTCCACACAACTGACACCACTTGTCTCATTATCACGGAAAAAGCAGTGGTGGGTATTATTTTAGTGTTTGTGGCCTACTGCAGAAGTCGACATTCAACCACATAGATATTAGCATTTTGTACTACTCTCTAATTAGTCAGCCGGTCCGGGCTGGCGTTAGTTAATTCGCATTGACTAACTTTGTAGCAAATGAGGGCATACTTTCAAATTTCCCAAATTGCCTCAATTCCGAACTTAGGCATAGCAGTCTTAATGAGTACCGTGTTAAGCTGATGCGGTGTTTCTCCCCTGTAGGTGGTGAAGCAGATTGAGGAGACAAATGCGCTCAGCAAGAAGCAGGAGGAGGAGGACGACCTATACAGCCAGGTGCAGTACGAGTTCAAGAGTAGTTCCGATGTGTTAGACGCGGTAAGGCCGCAGGCAGAAGTGGTGGTCGAACTCGGCAAAAGGGCCAGCAACGATGTTAGCCAACTGAGCAAGGACATTGATGCTCTGCTCAACAAAATGAAGGAGTTGAAAGACAAAATAAGTAATTTCGGACGCATTCTGCTTACTGAGGTGTTCACTGACTATCTGCATCTCGTGTGGGCGAGTTCGCTTTTAATAGTCTGTCCAACACTTTTCAGATATTTCATAGCTCAATTCCGACTGGCAACATTGCAGTTTTTAGTGCTTAAGTTCGGTATGATATGCTATTGAATGTTAGAAGTGAAATGTGTTTGGGAAAGGATCATTTTGATTAGTCAGGCCATTTCTAGAAAATTAACCACTTTCTGGGATTAATCTGGCTTCAAAAATGGCAGATTTTCTTCCTCAGACTTCAAGCGTCACTTTTCCGAAGAAAAAAGGTGTGTGCTGTCGCAAAGCTGTGACACATTCTCTCTGTGTAAAAGTGTTACCTTAGAGTAGATACGAGACACGTTGCTAGGTTGCCATCTACCACTCGTAAGAACCTCTAAAAGCACTAAGTTGCCTTTCAGAACCGTAGCCACCTTATTTAATATTCATACTGAGAACTTTGAGTTAGGCGTTGTGTTCTCAATTAGTAGTCCAATTCTCGGTATATGTTGTGTGAGAGTGGTTTGTATTTCTAAGATCAGCTGAAGCTATGAATGAATTCTAACCTAACAAATTAGTCATTAATTCACTTTGATTACAGAAAAGACAAAACGGTGAATTATGAATTTGTAGACACCTCATTGAGCAAAATCATGCTCCAAAAAGTGACCTAGTTAAGTTATACTATTAAGTGATTTCAAGAGGAATTTCAACAGTTGAAAATCCCCACCAATCGCTTTCAGCCAAAACAAGTCCGAACAATGGCTACGAGGGCGACGGTGCAGCTCGCTTCAAGGAGATAAAAGAGGAGGCAGAAAATATGAAGATAGCCGAGAGGATTGATCACCTGCGCAAGATAAACTTCTCCCGTGTAGCCGAATTAGAGTACATCCGAGACTACGAGCTGAAGGAGTTCGCTGCCAACACAAAGCACCTCAAGCGGCTGCTCGAGCTGCTGCCTATGCTGAACCACCAGAGGTGCTTCTACTCCGGAAAACACATTGAGGGCAGCCGTCGTAGGAAAAAGCGATCTACCGACAACTCCACAGCTTCCGGTGCTGCTTTTGGTGTCTAAGCTCTACGTCTGGGTTCGAGTTCGGTCTTTTTGCATCAATCTTGACACTTTATTTTTAATTCTGGACGTGATTATATCTACGTTTTGTGCTTTGATCTATGATTTTCAACTTCGCTAATGTATAAAGCCCTGAGGAATCCAGCTTTATGATCTGCTTTCTAATAAATCGTGTCTGTAGGCTAATACATTCCTACTGAGCATGTATTTTTTAGTCTTTTGTTTTATTCTGGACTACATGGGAAGCCGTCGCAATAGTCCCTGTAAGCATGTTATGAGAAATCCGGTTGATTTAGGGATACAATTTGCATTCCAATCGTCATAATTCCTCTAGTTCCTCAGTATTTCCTCGATAATAAATGTGAATACGGAACGGACTTATCGAGTCCAGTGCCATCATTATGTTTTCAAAGCAAGTATGCAAGCACAGTCTGGAATTATTTGGATTTTAGCGGCGCTCGATACACCTATGTTAAACAGTCGCCCTCATCATCGAAATTAAGGTAAAGTTGGTTAATCAGGGAAAGCGGGGCTTTGAAGTGAAAATGCTGAGTTTTCAATAAGCACAATTTGAGGCAACCCATTCTCTCGTTCTTCTGTTGCAAAAATTAGACTGCCCCATCATTGCATTCTCTTCGCTTACTTCCGGATAAAGATGCTGCAGCCGTCGAGTGAGCATGAATTAAATGGTCACTACTCATTTTGAGCCATTCAATCAGATAATACTACCACTACTGGGCTTCACCGGTAGCGTAGACTCATGTTACCACTTGAGAAAGATGCGAAATGTCTACGTTCGGACGGGAGGCGGAAGGAAAGGATGATAGACAGTGATTGTGGTATGGGACAAAGAAGCATAATCGTGGCGCAGTTGTAATAGTTCCTTGTGGTCCCACGGCCTCTACGGTCACCTGATAGAATAACGCCTACTGACCTCCAAGAAGTTTGAAAAAATTGTCATTTAATGCTCAGTTTTCCGATTTGGTTTGATAAATATTCAAAGAGGGAATCAGGGACGAATGTCTTTTAGTATTGCAAAATTCTGCAAAAATCTTGATATGCAAATCGCAAATTCTTCATATTTACCCTGTAACATCTCATTTCATTCCAGGTAGGTAAATCCTTTGGGTCATTTTAAATGTGCATCTGGTTTGACCCCGAGTGAAAATTTGCCATCTGGGACAACCACGTGGAATCAGAGGGAAAGCTTTAGGGAATTTGAGAAGGGAAATGATAATCTTCGCAACTATAGTCAATGATTCCATTTCCGTCTCAATTGAATGCAAAAGAGCATAATAAGTTAGTTAAGTACGGTGAAATGATCCTCACTTGAGTCGTCGATAGAGCTAATCCTAACTTATTGCCACCACCTCTTCCTGTAACAATTACACGAATAGGGAACACACGGTTTATTGCAGAATACAACAATACTTTTTAACCGTTGTGCTGCTCGTCAGGCACAATGGGAGGCAGATTCCAGGTGCACGCAATGCCAGTGGAATGCATTCATGTGCTTCGTACTATTTATAACTTAGGCATTTGAAAGGCCTCGCGTGCATATTTCCACTGAACTAAATCATCCTTTATAGGGTTGATTAGCAGGAGCACTCATCCATTTAACATAGACATGCCACTCAGCGGGACTATGCTTGTATGCTAAGAGTTTCCCTGATTGCAAAATTCTACCTCAAAGGCGTTAAGCACCTTGGTGGGTCACTTTTTGTTTGGAGACAAAAACAGTGTTCCTCAACGTTCTTACGGATGATTAGGATAATCACATGCTTGCGATAAAGTGGGCGTAACCCTCTGCTCCTCGTTACTCTAAATAGCATGACTGGGTAATGAGGGTACACATGCACCTTGGTCGCAGTTGCAAAGCAAAACTGTCGGGGATTCTATCGGAATGTCACTCCCGAATGTGGCGAAGTTGGAGCTGACACGCTTTGTATACACATGGACAAGGAGTATTGGGTGGCTCGATAATATTTGATTTTGAAACCGGCAATTGTATGCGCTTAGTCAGAAAACTGACAAGTCTTGATCAGAGCAATAGCTTCGTACTAATCATAAAATTTGTCCCTCAAATGTCAAGATCTATGCTGCATTATTAACCTGTGCAATCCGGCTACTACGCCATAACCAAATCATTCCTAGCATTTTTAAAGATATCATCCCCTATGAGAGACAAATTCTGTTCACACATTCGTACTAATACCTATAAGTTTATGAGGGATTCGTACAATTTGTAAAAGTAGCAAACAATCCTACTAAATGGTAATCTGGATCCTACTTTCAACCTCATTTTGTTTGTGACTTCGAAAATGTGCACTTATAAAGTCGCTAGGGTAATGAAATTGGTGACTTATAATTGCATTTGATAAGGGCTATTCCGAAAATGGGTCTGCAGATGTAGTGAAGACTCCGTTTCAGCATTCAACACGTACATGCATGCACACAGTTTCCGGCATCGCACACTGGCGCGGTGGCTAGCGCAGCAACCCACGTCTTGATAATGAACCATCACAGCCATCTTGCTGCAGGCGATGGCAATGGAACCTTCAATTAGTCAATCAGGCAGGATAAGTGGCAATGTTTCTGGTGGTTTTTGCTCGCCACCTACTCATCTGTTTCGGGGTGGCAGGCACCTCCTTTGTAAACACAAAACTCAACAAAATTTGTACATCTGGCTTTTCATCCACTTCACTAATACCCCGATTTCGGAGTAGTAATTGAAATTCGCCTGCATATTTTGTGTCAGACAATTTTGCGAAGAAAAAAGTAAGTTATTCTTTTTCTTCCGAAATATGTCACATCAACGGTTGCCCCCTAGTGTTCTTTTGTTTTATGCTGGAAAATTGAGCCATCTGTCGCACCAAGAGCAGCCACTTCAGGACTTGGCACCAGGGGCTTATAACTACTTGTCAGCGATGTAAAGGTGAAAGGACATCCACTTATGGAAATGTTTAAGGGTCAGACTATTCCGCTTGATGCATCCACCCCAAGAGGATCTCTAAGTACTACGGCTCTGGACTAAGCATTTTTACAAGCATGAGCCTCTGTTTACGGGGTGAATTTTATGTACTGTTTTTGATGACATACTTGTCAAAAACAGCTTTTCATGAATAAATTGCTTCTGTTTCATTTTCTGCATAAACAACAGATGGATAAAAATGTACTTTGCAAAACCAACGCATTCACTTTCGATATGTTAGAATGAAGTGATTTTGAAGCGCTTATTTCTTTTCTAAGAAAGAAGACTTTTATTTTAATAGATCAATTCCCTCTTCTATGAAATGCACCCCATCCAGATTGAGCAATAAGGTGCCTTGCTAGTGTTTCCCTTGACTCATTTTTTATTAAATGCCTACAACTTCACTGCTCTGGTCCCAGTTGAGCGGCCGAAACATAAGTTAAAGACACACCTCTTAATCGCCTACGGCATTTATTAATACCAGATTCATTGCCGCGATCATTGTTTTTCTTTGCTGATTTTTTCAGTCGTCGCTACAATTCCTCTTTCTGTGTTAAATAGATTATTTCAACACTACCAAGCCAGTTTTCCCAATCATGGTATTTAGAGCTGCTCCTTTTTCTTCTGTGCGATTTAAATACTGCCACGTGGGGTTTGGTGCTTCAGCGCCAGGTGTCATCGGATGGAAATTTTAAGCAGCCTTCCCAAAGTAAATACTTAAACAAACGGCAACCAATGCAGAAGACATCCATTCACAATGTCGATTCAATTGAGTAGGGCAATGTTGTTTTAGTTATATGAAAAGCCAGACGCTAGTCCAAAAGTAATTCACCACTTACAATTGAAGTTCAATTCGCCGGCAAAGCGGATATTCACTGTCAAGGCAGCGGTGACTGAGGTCTTAATTTTGTGGCAGTGACCCAGGTAGAAAGCTTGACGAGTTTGGCAGACAACAAAAGTGTGTTAAATAAAATTCGAAAAAAATTTAATTAACTTTATTTTATGTAAGGACAAAGGGTACTTGAATTAACAGACGTGCTTTACTAATTCATTAGGCATGGGGGTCCATGATGCTAGTGTAGGCGCAATGTTTTCCGTTTATTAGCACAGGTTGCCATACATACGTCACGAGGGCGTCTATCATTACTTCAGTTGTCTTGTTCCAGAAATTATGTTGCTAAATATTTTCTACTTGTAAAAAGCTTGGAATAACGTAATTTGCAACCAGCACTGTTATCAAAGCATAAGATGTTTAAGACATCCATTCCCGACACCTGATGAGCATCCGGTTTTTGATAAGTTTGACATTGTATAGAATGCTAGCATTAATTGAAGAGCTAAACCGACTATGTAACCAAGAACGCGAACTATCAAACAAGTCTGCCTGATCTCAGTTCTGCTAAAACTGGTCATTTAACAGGTTATGTACCTATTTCAAAGTGATTCAGAGTTCTAGCCTGGATTCCATAAAAACTTAATGCTCAATATCGGCTTAACGAATAATAGTCAAGGCTTTTCATGCTCTCTATGAAGGTTGAAAACTACAGCGATGTAGCTAGTTAACTCAAGGAATCTTTCATTACAGTCCAGCAGAGATCTGCCTGCCCATTAAACTGCAGTTTAAATTTTGAATTACTGGTACATTTTGCCAAATAAATTTACTGTTCAAATTCACATGGCCGTCAACCAACCCCATTCGCAAAGAATATTAAGCAATCAGCAAATACTTCTCCATCCTCCACCGGTGCTACCTCCAGTCACACGTGACCGTATTGTGCTAAAAAAAGCCCTCCATTCAGCACGCTCTTGCGACTACTTGATCGACCCATACTCCACGCCTTTGTGCCTCGATAAGGTCTCACCACAGATCTACAAACAGTCAGGTTTCCTACTCACACAATAGCGAGGGAACGGAATTGGTTCTTACTTAATAAATTTGCCCCTTTATTTAGGCGTGGGAAACTGAAGGCCATGCTTCATCAAAAGACAACTGACTTGAATACGGATTCATGGTCAGCAAAAAAAAAAACGAAAAATGGCGTAAAATCGCAGTGTTCTTATTCACCGCTGCCGCTATTTCAACAGTCTAAGATAATCTTTTTAAACATGTAACATGGATTGACAAATTCAATTTTATAGGTAACAAGGCGAAAAGTGTCAACAACAGACTAGCACAATTCCTCAAAACAATAAATATTGTTCAATGCTTTAGTCACTTCTGGGAATGTAAATTTTAATACCTCACTTGATCGGGTTTCAATTATGTTGCTGTTTGAATAGGGATGCTTTAAATCGGACTGGGGATCTAAATTAAGAAGTTGGACAATTTTGATTCGATATACCAAAGACACTATATTTTGGTAAATTGTACACCAGCAAACACCATTTTTAATATGTCTAGGGTCTAAAATACTAACTGCTGCCAATCTGACATGCAGCCTTCTCTCACTCATTAAGGGAGTCTTCGGTGGACGATCTACGCCGCTCTAATCGGGCTATAAAGTGGGTGATAGTTGCATCATCTGCAATTCTGTGATTCTACTTTTCGCATAAAATGGTAAATTGCAATTACCGTGTCAGGTTTCGGTGCATTGAGGCTACGTGGATTTTAATCAAGATGATGCATTCCCTTTTCACTCCTCAAGGAAAGCACATAGCATATTAATAGAAAATGAATTTTTTTGTCCTCGCTTTATTTAAATAACATGTCATATGCGTCATGCCAGACCTCCCATAATGTTAACAGCACGGACTTTCCATTGCCGAAGTGGTTCACGAGCCGAGAGCCCATTGACAGACTCTGGGCTGAAACGCAGCATTTCTCCACTGCCTTACACCCGCTCGAAATCACCCTTCACTAGCAATATCAAAATTTGATTACTTTCTTAATAAATTAAAAAAAATAACTCACAGTCAAATCTTCAAAGTTACGTCTAGCTTGATTCTTTTGCAAGTACATAGGGCCTGCTTTGTGCGGGGTCAATCCACAGTTTGCGCTCATAGGCTTCTATAATAAAGTGGGTGTTCTTGCCTGGAAATTGTTGCCGCATGCCGTACCCAAACTAAAATAGATCTGATGAGTTTTTTGCATGGGGTGTGTTTCTGCTACTAAAACCCATCTAGTTCAGTTGATCACTTTGGTAGTAAACAGTAAGCTCCTTTTGAAATCACAGACGACTAATTACTCAGAAAATTCAACAGTTAGACCAATGGCAGTCTGCTTTAGGAATTGGGATGACATCAAATTGTCTATAATTAGTTCCCACACAACGCCAAATGCAGCTCCTTTTGTCTCCCTTCAATAACGGGGATTTTAAACATGACGCATGATCTCAGAAATCAGTTAGACAGGGCGGAATGTTGGCTTGACAGCGCAAAAATATCCCACTATCTCCAATCCTACACAAAGATGGCCTTGTACTACCCAAGACAAGTTTTGATATTGTGAAAAATTAACAACAGTTGGGACAGAAAATGGAGTTTGTAATGCAAATTCTTTCATCAATAGATTGAATGATGGGTAAGGAGATGAGCCTGGATTTCAGCAACAAACGACGAATGCCCCACTACGATCATTTGGATGGCTCAAAATCACAATGGCTAAAAGATGGGGAGTTAAACGGATAACATTTCCCTCACATTAGGGCAGTGAGCGGCATCATCTTAGCTCTGAGCTATCCAAACTGATTAATACTGTGACACAGGTCTTCAAGGTTTACTATCAGGACTAATAGTATTTCAAAAGCGACCATTTTAAGACGCTTCGTATAGTGTGCTCATTTTGATTTGACGCTTGGGGTTGAGGTTGTGGTTTACAAAAATTGGTGAAACAGGAGCAAGATCTGAATAGTATAGCAGTATGTATTTAGAGTCGCTTATCTCGTCTTCAGTTCGAAGCACATTCCCCAAACACTCTCGGCACCTTAATTAACCTCTTAAATCCTTTCATGACTACGTGATCTTCCAATTTTCCTTTAAAATTAATAACCTCTTCGTGTCTCAGCAATTGGCGCCAATACAGGTTTATAATGTCACTCACGCCCCTCCATGAATGTTCATGCATATCGAGCATATTGGGTACCAAATTGTTGAACTAACTAATGAATACACGCCGGAATAATTTTAAAGTGGTAAAGTGGCATATAGTAAGCCGGAATTGAACAAAAAAACAATGTCAAAACTCCGTTATTTTTCATTTATGAAATACACATTTGCTAAATCACATCCGAGGCACTTTAATGCACAAGATAATGTAGCCAAAATTTTACAGCGTTCGCCCCGCAAAGGCTCTCTAATCGTTCCTTCTAGAATCGAAAGGATTGTATCCCTACCTGGATAACTGGATCGCGATTCGTAGCATTGGTGGAGTATAAATACCCAAGTGGGTCATTCTGATGTCATGGTTAACAGTTTAGACGGCCAATAATCGCGTTACTCCCTATTCGCATCGTAAGTTCGTTCATAATATTTGATTAGAAGCTGAACATAGCGCCATAACAACGTGATTCTACTGCAATATCCAGAGTCCAATAGTATACACACATACACTGAGATTGACATTTTGAGATAACTGTGATACGTCATTTTAGACTTTATGCAGAAAGTAGTCATTCACAAGACACATTATCACTTATGATGAGGAACTGAAGGGCTGTTGAGAGGTCAGGATAAAAGGCCAGATCACATTCAATTATGAAATTCATATATCGGCGCAAGAATTAGAGCTTGTGTGGTTAAAAGGTAGTGACCCTGAGATGCAAGAGCTTTGCACGTGGATGAGCGCGCAAACACTGACGCGCACAAAGCCGACTTGGGAGGGGAAAGGGCAGCAACACGCAAACACGGAGACACAAATTAGCGGAACCAAGAGCGGTGGTAGTTGTGGTGGTGGTAATGGTAGCAGCGGAGGCGCACAGGAAGGCGAGAAGGAGATAACATTATCTGAACCTGAGAATGTGGAAGATAAAGCAAAATACTATTGTAATAGGTGTGCGTGAGTGCGTGTTTTACGCGGTTACATTGGCGCTTAGGTGGACAGACGTATCGCTTGTTTGTGCTATGGCACAATGCACTAGTTAGGAATAAGAACAGGAGCAAGAGGGGCATTGAGGGAAGACACTTTAAGAAAATACCAAGGGAAGTGATAGAGAAGGGGAGGGAAGTGATGTAGGAAGAAGAGGAGAAGAGGGAGGCAATCACAAGTCATTCCTGTTGGAATCGTTCCGAAAGAAGTGAGGTGGCTTATCGGCCCCGATGGCGAACATCTCGACATAGAGCTCGGGAAAAACGAGGTGGGGGAACTGCAGGCGGACTTGACTCAACACTTCGTGATGTTCTACGTTCAACTGATTCAATATCGGCAAGAGTTGCGTAAATGCTGTCAAACGTTCGCTTGCTGCATCTGACTTGGATTCTAAAACGACAATTATTCCTTTACTTACTGAAAAAGTTAAAACTAAGATCAGCTATTTTTTTGTCCTACTTTAATTGAGACCACCATAACGAAGTAAATCAGGCACACAAGGGTTGCAAGCCAAGGTGACTAGGTATATACATATATCAATGAAATTAAGCACCATTTTGGTACGACTTACTTTGATGTTCATGGTTCACCAGGGCCTGCATGGATAGGAGGAAGAGGTGTTCGCAGGAGGCCGGATCTTCCAGCTCGTTCTTGTCTAAAAAAGGAGAAGATGGCTGCTCAAAGCAAACGTGTTACCAATAGTCATACGATGCCAAATGTCGTCGTTGTTTTGCTCACCAAAAGTTGAGACTCGAGTAAATCACATGTAAATTTGGGTCTGGAAAACAGCGCTCCGACATCTTTATGAAAATTTATCACTGTTTAGATCCAAAACTAGACCAGTATCAAATTCTGCCATAAAAATAATAACAACTTATTCGGCCTGGATATCAGAAAATTGGTAAAATTTTACGCACCACTCCGAGTGCCCAGACAACAAAGGTTTACTTATTAGTTTGGCTTGAAAAAAATCTCTAGGAATAGAAATAATAATAGATGAGTTGTACAGCGAGAAAGACACCTTATTGGCAAGTATTTTGGGATGATTAAGGTATGCTCATCATAGTTTCAGGATTTCATCGTATTAGTAACGACAACCTCTTTCCCCCACTTCAATCGATGGTACAACAACTGGTATCAACGGCCACGGAAGTTACTTCAAAAAACCAATTCATTACTTTCTACGTTTTATGCCAAACATCTTGAATTGTCTGCTCCTTTAAAAATAACGACTTTTTAACTAAACACCGACCATATTCCTCGATAATGCTTTTCTACGTGACGCTTTTACCACGGTGCACCGGGCACCTAACTACGTGAGTGATTCAATGCGTCAATACTGATGTGCCAGATTCGTTTCACGGACCTGTTCAGATGACAATCATAGGTGATTTCGAGTCTCATAAGTACACATGGATCTAATCAATCCTTGAATATGAAAAATGTAGTGTCACAGTATCAAGAAAAGTTGAGTTGAATGACAGCGGTTCCCAGTTGGGGACTGTTACACTTAAATATTTCACTCTAACAAGCGAGTAAATGATTAAGTGAGAGGCTAACTTACGTCTTAAAAGTTCCTGTATACATATAATGGTGCTCTCTATGTCGTCCAACTTCAAGCGTCGAAGAACCTTCCCCGACTGGACGAGGTGGGAGATTATTTTTGCGAGGGGAGGAAAGCGCTGAATTATGATTTCTTTCTCACGCTCCCTAAAACGAAACCGGTATTCATATTCTCCTGGTTAATCAAACATAGATATGGGTAGATAATGGAACCGTAAGAAAAGAAATACTTTAGTTTTGTTATGAATATATATTATTGACCTCAGGAGGGGAAAGACAGAAAATACCAATATAGGATGGGAAAGTGAGCAACAACGACTTAAGCATGTTCCTCCACGAGTAATTACGGAGGGTGTGCAATTTGGAGAGCAGCCACTACGTCCATATGCCTGAGCATGAACGTATGTGGTTGCATAAAAATATAGCAAATAAAAGGAAAATACTGATGTAACAAAGCCAAGATAAAAGCAGAGGGATAAGGAAGTTGTCCTTAGAAATACTTTTTCCCCACTTTATTGAGACAATGTGGGATCATTCCAGTGTTCATTGCAAGATCAACGAGACAAATAGAGCAACAGGCTGCACAGAACTCGATGACATAAAACACATCACCTAAATAATCACACAACTCGAAAAAGTAGCAGCAACCAACCTGATTTTAGCATATCATACAATTTCACTTCTTCACATGATAACCTTATAGGTACGCAAGGATAACTTTTTTAACGTTTCCCAAAGCCAAACGTCGATTTTGGGAATCAAAATGCTAACTAGAGCAGTAAAAAGTGACCTGTGGAGGCGCACTTTGATTGAAGGATAAAAGGGTCGTAGACAATGCCGTAATTTTAATACAGGGATCAAAATAGGGCAGTGGTAGCAGAAAGTGGTACAAGGTGCCCGATGAAGAACAACACAAGGATCGCCTGGTAATTTTAACTCCTTTCCTTTTGTTGAATTCAGGGATACGGCAAAGGTCGTAGAAGAAGACGAGATGACCAACCTACCAAATGAAATTTTATAGCACGCCCACATGCCTGGCACATTTGCATCGCTTGCTTGTTAGTCTACACTCCGCGTTGCTCTTATTCACCGTCCCTTTGTTCTAGCCCTTTTCCCTTCTCACTAGCAGGAAAGTATTACACCCATTCTGCCACGACAATTTCTCCCGTCATGATAGGATAGCCCTCAACCATATGACACGTGGCGTAATTTGGTTTACCCTGATGACCCAAGTCTTCGTGGATATATCCGCTGTTTTTTAACCGGAACAAAGCACGGCCACTCATTTAAAGGTGATCCTTTGGGAAAAGAAGAGGACAAGGCAGCAGTTTGCAGTGTTCGTTGCTTGCCGCCCACTGCCCGACTGGCATTGCGCAGCAGTCGGCGTGCAGTGAGTGGCCTACGGGGAGAGCGAGAGAGCGAAGCAGTGACACTGGCACGCGAATCACCAAAGAATGGTCTTGGCTGATGTCCAATAATCCGGCCAAGGTGGATGACACACCGTACGTACACACTCAGGCACGCAGCGCCCGAACTGCGTTACATAGCACTGGACAGACGTACACGCGCACACACGCACCATGCCTCTAATGGAGGAGGAAAGCGAGGAGGCAAAAAATATGTCGACGCTCATGTGACGACTTTGGGGCAAGTGTTCATGACTGCGAGGAAGGCGGTTGGTGGAAGCTCGGATTGGGGTGCAGTCACGTCATCGATGAGTAAGCAGGACATGAACGATTATGAACGTACGGGAAATCAAAGTAGTTGTAGGAGAGACTGCTGTTGTTCTGAAAGTCTCTGCTTAGTTCTATCAGCATAATGGGATACATGGCAGCGCGAATCAACTGCCTTCTGTCGTTGATGCCCAGCCGATTGAAGCCTGCAAAAGGAGAGGAGAGAAAATGTACAGGGTATATCTAGTTTTCATCCAGTAACTTTGGTCACAAAAACAACAACCAGGATTCAAGGTTACACAGGCTGTATTTCCGAACAGTCTCCTTAAGGGACCTTGAGAGTAGCTTTTCGTGTTTACGCAACCGACGAGACGTTATTGGCCAGTTGGACAGTACTGGAGCAAAGGATTTGATGATAGTGTACGGGCACTAAGGTATCATTTAGGGCGCGCAATCGACTTAATGAGTGAATAAGAAGGCGCTAATTAGCGCAATAAAATGTAGACAATCCACATAAGGCGGGAATATAAGCGTCTGGAACAGTTACTTGCGTTTCAAATTTAAAGATGGAAATGGGTAACGCAGCAATCCCAAACGCTGTTTAACCCAACTCTACCACTTTAAAAATCGTTTTATCGTAATTGAAGGAATTCCAGCACACAGTAGGCTCGTATGCTTAAAAGCCCCTATCGAGTAAACCATTATAAAACGTGTACTAAACATGCTGCGGATAGCTCAACAGGGCCATTGAATTGTATGCTATCTCAACGTTATTTACTCTTAAAAAAAGCAACTAAACGCCAAAATTCCACCATAATGAGATGAAGACACCTCCTAACATGAGATGATGGCCAAATCTGCCTAAAAAGAGTCGGTCGCCTAATTTGGGTGGTACATGAGGGTTTATGAAAAACGCAGCTTGAATTGCAATCGAAATAGCTGAATTCGTTAGAATAAACAAAAACGGGTTAAAGCGACCAGGCACAAGCCCTCTAAAGATTGGATTTCACGGTGTGTGTATGTGCATCATCGTGTATGACTGGGTGACATGCACCAGATATCAACTCTAACTAAAAAACGCAGGTAAAGCTAAATGGTGATAGTGACGATTTTCAAATCAACCCACTTCAATATGCTCGGTGGAGGCGCGAAAAGAGGAATTTACTCAAATTTGACTGAAAATTGAATTGCCTGTACTTCTGAAAAGGAAAATGAAATAAATTCATGCAACTGGTGGTCGCAGCACGTTTCGGTCGGTAAATAGACTGCTCGCCACTCGACTGGTCAAGCGTACTGGTTAAAACGAACTCTCAAGAGATACAGAGAGGAAATTTCATAACGGGCATAAAACTTAGATGTGAAAATGTGGTAAGTTATTTATTACCAAACATGATGAATTGTGTGCTTCCCAGTGTCCCATTAAATTCCGGCATGATGTGTTACTCGGGTAAAATTAGGTATCTCCATGAAGGAGAGCGTGCTACGGTTTGGTAAGAAATCACAGGAAGTTCAAGTTAGGCAGTGGTTCCACGACAGACCAACGGAAGACCTGCATAGAACACGCCTGGACTTATAAGCAACCGATTAAGCATATAATTTGGGGTAGCGCTTTGTCGGATTTTCACACAGGCACGTTTGCACACACAAAATCACGTGATTGATAAATGGACTAACGACTCACCCGCGATAAGCTTCGAGAAATCGACGACCATTCTAGTGTGTGAAACGAACTGCCGCATCATCTGCGACCAGACACGTTCAATGGTGTCCAAGTTGGTGAATCTGGGCTGCGGATCAGTCCTGATCCGTTTTAACCGCTGCAAAATAACTCAAGCCGCCACTATCTAGAGTGATTGTAAACTGCTGGATCATCTAATCAATTATCCATCTTTGCATTACTTGCATAATCTTATTTGTAAGTTGTGTGCTGTACGATTTTAACGCCTAAGGATTACTTCACACTCAAAACTATAACAATAGCAAGACTTAAATAAGGCGGTGACCTTGCATTTTAAAACAGGGCACTTCTGGCCCCTACTAAACATTCACAGGCTCCTTTCAATTAATAAAGCAAAGCCAATGTGATATCAAAAGGGTTGTCTGACCTCTAAAAGCACCTAACGTCTGCCTACCCACACACAGACAAGTAGAGCATGATTTGCTATTTAACCTGAGACTCCCATTCACTGAGTGTGCGTAAATGAGACACTGGAGGTTTAAGAACTTAAACTGACCCTTTCTAGAATGTTATCACCCAAAATGGAGACTGAGAATTAACTTACCATGCGTTCAGATCGCAGAAAATCAGTGGCTCGCTCGATTCCCTGAGTAAATTCCGCAAGAGTCACAAAGACGTTCGTCTGTTAAGATAGAAAATCGTAACAATAGGAGACAATCCCCATTTCCACTTACATGATGGGAGACGCTACATGTCCCCTAAGCATATCGCTACTAAATAATTCTATTATACGATTGGTCACTAGCTACAAGTAGTCTAGGCCATATAACCTCGACGAAGCGAGTAGTGCTGAGCGAAGAAGAACCGAAACCACAAATAAGTTTAGGTTATGTAGGAATCGACATTCACTAATGAGAAAGGTAGAAAAAAGCCCCTCTATTGTAGTTTTAAATTATGCGCTTATAATCAACTTTGCATCGAAGCCGGTATCGAAATAATTTGCGAAGGAGAGAAAGGACTGACTCGAATGCTTTCCTCCAGAGATGAGGCGGCCTCAGAACCCTCTCGAACAACATCATCATGGAAAGACTGGTTCTCCGTTTTATTGTGTTGCTTAGCCTTTGTCTCTGGAGGCCCGAGACACGAGTGCACCACCATGTCAACAGGTTGAAGAGCCGTCGGAAGGGTCGGTGGTGGTGCAGGTGACTGGTGGGGATGGAACCTTGAGGAGGAGGAGGAAGAGCAGCACGAGAGTTGGGGTGGAGAGGGCACTGCTGTTTGGGTGTGTTCGGACTTGAACACAGGCCCATTAGACGGACTGCCCCAAAGGAGACTTGCTGCCGCTGCTGCCACCATTGTGGGATGGTGCTTTGCCAACTGACTTAAAAACTCCGCTGTCGGAGTGGGTTGAGGGTGATGGAGCTGAGAAGAACAACTTCCGCTAGCGAATTGGGGATTCCTATAAATGAAAGCAAGGTTTTAGATCGAGCTGATCGGCGCGTTACTTGTTGATCGTGTTTTTGGTAAAGATTAGATGACTCACAAAAGGAAATGGTTAGCGAGTGAACTTGCAACAGTTACAGAAGCAAGTTGTTGGCAGAAACTGCTGTCCACCATGTCTGTCCCAGCATCGTGTTCTTGAGTATCCTCAACCTTAGGTCTCTTAAGAGAGGAGATAGATGAAATGATGGGCGAAGTCTGTTGAGCATCCAGAGGGTTCTGAAAGGCTGCGCTGGAAGACGAGACACCAGAGGAAGCGCTGAGAGTGGACGCTCGACTCCTGGTTCCCTCGCTGTCAGTAGCGTTACCCAAGTCGGCTGTCAATGGGACCGCCCCCACTACTGAGGCAATGGCGGTGGGCATAGGTACCACCGTCGCATCAACCGTCTCAAAAGTGTTGAGAGATCGCTTGGGAGCACCAGCAGCTGTTTGCAGAAGCGCGGTCTGACGCTGCCCCGGAGAGAGTGGCACGGAGTCGTCAACATGGTTGGTGTGAGTCGATGGACCCTTTGATGCTGATGAATCATCCGGGGACGGAAGTCCACCATTTTGCTCTCGCCGGGAGATCTCTCGCACGCAGTAGTACTTTATGGCATTAGGCTGTCGACCGACGCGACTTCCTTTAAGACAAAATATAAGGCTGGTGGGTTTACAATTCAACTGTAAATATTTAATCGTCATGGAATCCGTTGACATTCACCCATCTATGAGGTAAGGGGAGAGGGAAGTTCTCGACGAGTTAGGTAAGATGAAAAAGTTTGAAGCAGAGCCAACAAAACTCAAATAACAATAACGAGTTTAATTTTAAAAGAAGGTCCTTCGGAGGGTTTGTGGGTATGTGAAATATACCACCTTGGGCAGTATAAACAAACCAGTGAAGTTTGGCGGTCGTTTTTTGGGGATGGCGAGCTTATAACTATAAAAGTTAAGGATTTAGCCAATGAATTCCTGTTTTGTTTGTTGTACGCCAAGAATTTTTCTCCATCAGAACTGAGGTGGCATGCGAGAAATCAAAAGAATAAATGGATTCACAAACTCCAGCAAAAAGGCATGCCTTAGTTCGTTTTATTTTGTCTGCTACGTAGAAAAAGTGCTTGGCCTGACAAAACCCTTGTTGATAACAGCAGGTAGCTCCTAGGGAATGCAGACTTGCTTGGGTAACGCGCGAATTTCAACAAACTGGAGCTACGGAGTCGTCAAAATGCGGGTTAAGGTCGGATGTGAAGTGTTTTTCCATCTTTCCAGGTATTGCCATAATAAAGTAGATAACTTTATTTACTGTAGGCCACACTACAAGTCTTCTGATGATTTCATTCATGCGAATAATGAATAAGTGATATTAAAGATCTCATGGAAGCAATCCCTCCATGAAATGAACGTCGTCAAACAATGAATTCGCGTTCACCTTGAATGCCGAACACGGCGATGCGCAGAGGATGATAAATTAGCTCCCCCACGATACTCAATATGAAGCAATTCAGTGCTTCCATAGTTGGTAATTGAAATATTGCATCTGAAATTTGGTGTGAATATGGTTGACTAGATGGGAGATAGGCAGTAATAGGATAATAAAACGCTTGTTGACGTTTACCTTATTTTCAATTGTGGTCTTAATTTCCCATTTTGCGTTTGAAAAAAAACCAGGCACAAGTACGCCACCCACTGGATAAAACGATAGTAATACTATTTGAACTCATTTGTGTAGTCTGTTTACCATGGACGTCAACAAAATCTCACATGAGATGAAAGAAGCGCCGCCATAGGCAAAGGAGGTAAGGCCAATGCTTCTTTTCAAGCCAAAGGAGGAGCCAGTAGTTTATTTGCTTTTGTACGACTGTGTTGATGATGTGCACAAAAGTAGAAGCAGCAGAACAATATCGCCCTCTGGAAGAGAGCAAGAAATATAAATTAATGTGTTGACACACACAGCAAGTTATGTACACAAAGCGCAGGCTCTCGACGCGGCGATACACCTTGACAACGGTTGAAAGTGCACAATCACTAAGGTACACATTCCAAAAAAATGAGAACAAAAGGAAACCTTTGTCAACCATGTATGTACCCCATCATTCACCCGCTCACTTCCCAGTCAAACGCAAGTTAGTAACACCCTGAAACAACGTCTACATTACCTGAATCTTCCTCAAGAAAGATCTGACTGCTTTCAGTTTAATAAAAAATAATCCAAATCACCCACCATGATCTTGAGAACCAACTGTGCGTTCGGCAATTGTACATAAATGAATGCAGTTTCCCACACGTCTGCCTCCACAATTCCATTCAATGGACCTCGAAGTGTCGATAAATTAGGTGCTGTCTCAAACAAGGCCTTCAATGCAATACCGAGGTTTTTTTTAACGATTCCATTTTAAGGACTACGCACGTAAAATGTGAAAGTTATTGCGGATCACAATTCATCTTCCAGACTGAAAAACCAATGAATCCATTCCATAGAAAGCCTCACTTTACCAGCGCTTAAAAAGCATCATACAAACGATCCCAGAGGTGGATGCGGTGACTGAGAGTCAACTTAGGAACAAAAGTAATGCGCCTTCCCATAAATCCCCTGTAATGCTGCCTAAGGATGCAAAACTGTCAACCACATCAAAGAGACGGAAGCTGTAGGGAAGAGTCGAGGCGTCCCCTTGTCAGAAAACTGGATCGACGTGAACACAACACACCACCACCTCGATGTCTGGTATAACTACCAGCATTAATGCTAAACAGACGCTTTAAAGGTAAATATTTATCTGTTTAATTTGATACACCACCGTTGACATGGTAGCGAATGCAGGTGATTTGCAACAGAAAGGAAGAACAAAAGGCGTAACGCGCAATGATGGCAAAGCGCTGTGAACGCGAGGGCTAAACGGCACCCAGCGCTGATGATGCGCGTTTGAGGCGCTACCGCACGTTTGCATTTCAATGACTTATTCTTCAAAAAAGGTACACTAACGATCGATTTAGAAGGTCATGTAAAATGTGAGGACGCGAACTCACGTTTCTGAGACATTCCCACCTCGAGGCACTTTTTGAAACGACAACTTTTGCACATGTTGCGGTTAGAGGGTGTGATGCGACAAGTCTGGTTGCCCAGGCACTGCGGGATGCTGTTCGAATGAACCGTTCGTCGGAAAAAACCCTATGACAACAAAAAAATACAATCCAGAAAACAATGAGCTATCATCTTTGACAATTACTTCCGCACCTAAACCAATGAAATCTCCCTATAAAAGGGATTGATTCCAAACAGATCACAGACGTCATTAAATGTGCACGTCTACACACGAAAAGTTCACAACCACATCCAAACATCAGTGATTTGGTAAAAAAGACATGGATTCGGCTTACCTTGCAGCCTTCGCAGGTCAGGGCACCAAAGTGGAAACCAGAGGACGGCCCACCGCATACTCGACACGGAATCTTGGACACGTCACAACCGATCTCTCCGCCCGGGGCTAAAATAGACATTTTGAGGCATACCACTGAACAACTGTTTTAGTGTATCATAGGTTGGGTTGGGTACTTCAGCCAACTATAAATCTAAAACAACTTTACGACAGACCCGTAGAACCGAAATTCTTCTTGCCTTTAAGTTTATTACGTTGCCGTTTTGATCCAGGTATCGGTAGAGTAGATAAATAACAATCCACTAACCGCATACGTATGTATTTTTAAGATGGTCGTTTAATAGGTAGCCACACAAACATTGTTGCAGCTGGAAATGAGATCAAAGACAGGCATCGTTGACCTTAATTCCAACATGTGGATCAGCGGGTGTATAAGCGCAAGGACTAGTCTCAACTCCATAAAAAAGCCTACCACTGACATTGGAAACAGAATACTTTATGAACAATGGCAAAATGTCTAAAATTGAAGTCAGTTAGAGTGTACGCCTAGGCTAACACAACCGTTACAACTTTATAAAAGACAAAACCACCACTTTGTTAGCCTTTTAAATTGAGCCCCACAAATACGATAATTGAAACAAATAAATTATCAACAATTAAAACATCCCAGTGGCAAGGCATTCTTTTCAGGGAAAATGCTTCTAAGCGTTTCTAAGTGGACTTTTGCTTAACGTTTGGGTAGGCAGACTGATATAAAACCGAGACAACTTTGCATAGGAGGACAAATACAAATTTGGAGGTTTTATTCAGAACAAACAAAAAGTACCTACCCACAAGCCCGAAAAATATTAAGGAAAAAATCCTTACATATCCTGTTAAAATTGCTGTAGCATAGCATGCATTCACATGTATATAGGGCCAACTAGGATTAAGCGCCAAAACGTAGGCAAAATTCCGTACAATGAACCTATATGAAATCTTTCCTGGCGGAGGAGGGGGGAAAGGGGGAAAGGAAGCTCTCCAGTAGTAAGGGCTAAGGGAAATAAGTCGACCTACGCGTGAGACTCATGCCGAGATCGAGACATTTTCGAAAGCGACAGTGTGGACACTTGCCCCGGCCGGGCCCCTCGATTTTGCAATTGCCACCCATTGGACAGACGACATTCAAATCTGGGTGAGTTTCGCCTCCCTGAGTGGACGACTTAGCAGAATCGCCTTCCCCGAAGGTCGACTTTTCCTTCTTAATCCTATTAGTCAGGTGGCGAGTGAAAAACTTCTAAAATGGAGTGAAATAATGCGCTTAATAGTGAATTCGGTCAATGGGGGTCAATAGCAACACAAATTGATGGCACAGCGAGATCACAAGCGGGCTGCTCAAAAGGTATACCTATAAATATCACCATATACAGAAGAATGCTGCACGGTTGAAGCACAATGTTCAAAGGCCATACCACCTGAACTTTAGCCTTTAGGAATCCACTAAAGACGGAAGGGGGCTTATAGACAACGAAACCCAAGAATGAAACAAAACCTTGACCTGCGCAAATTGAAGATACAAAAATTCTGAGGCATAGATACATCTAACCATTGCTTAGAGAATCACAAAAGCGCATATCAATTTGGCTTTATTTGAATTGTTGTTTTCACAATGAGTAGCAGGATGGTCGTCACCAAGAGGATTAGAGTGAATCAATCAAAACTTGGGTAGTGACAGGAGAGCCAAATGATTGATTACAGCCACATAGCAAAATCCAGCTTAAAAAGAAGAACTAATTATTTCACAAAAATACCACGAAGCCCAGATTCCCACAATAAAAGAGAGAACTTGGGGAAAACGGTGGTTATTTATGTAAAAATTCGCAATCTTGCCTTGCATGCTTCACAAACATAGGCGCGGTGGTGAAACCCAACAGACGGCTGTCCACAGACCTGACAAGCTTGGTCTTCCGACCGTCGCTGATATTGAGTAAATGCAAACTCTGGAGTCATTTCATCAGTAAAGAAAGCAGAAGCCGATTGCAGAGGTTCAGTGATTTTTGATGGGTTAACTGCACCAGACTCCGATGCATCGGTGGAAACCCAGGATGGATTAGACGACAGAAATCCATGAAACTTCAATAATTTAGAATCACGAGGTATTCTTTCAGTCCTTTTCGATGCTGCTAAGGGGACTGAATCAGCAAGATCTGACCCAAAGTACATAACGTGACCTTGACTCAGATGGCCATCTTCACGCTGACCTTTGGCAAGAGAAAGAGTTTCAAAGGACTGATAAGGGGGAATCCTGACTTCCTCAACTTCATCAATCATAATAGCTACCACGCATCCAGTGGACCACGAGTAAACCACAAATAACAGAGGTTGAAATGCGCTGGGTGACATTTCATGCATAGAATAGGTAATAAAAACAAAAATTCACTGGGCTTTTAAAGCGGTACTTAAAAAGCTTGACGAGAAGGAATATACCAGCCGGAATAATGCGTAATTTTTGAATTTTTAGCAAAATCGAGAAATTCGAGCAAAATATCTGTGTTTGCAAAAATAATATTCGCAGCTGAAAGTTAATCTCAATTCGGCCGTTCCCATGCACTTTTGGCAAATTCACCCTTTCGTTGAAAAAATTTTGGGGTTTACAAACTAAGATTAGGTTAATGGGGTGACAACTGAAATACCTACTTGTTACATTAATGCACATTATTTACGGATCAGTAGAGCCCTGGCTCCTTCCGAAGTCGTAGCAAGCCGAAGTAACATCAAAGAACATATGTTACTAACTAGCAGAAGAGCTAAAAGGCTCTCAGCATAAATCTAAAGCCATGCTGCAGGGTAAACGTTCCCACTACTGAGATTGAAATGCCCGCATAGTTAAGTAACTTATCAAACCAATATATTTAAATTATTCAGGCAATGTGGATATGAATACAAATGACTAAGCCGTCATCACCATAGCGCTTCAAGCCTTCTTCGAAGTTAGAATAAACAGCGCTAATATGAAAGATTAACTAATAACATTAGCAATGGTAATAAGGCTGTGAGCATGGGTGAGGGCTGTACCGCCAAAATGAATGTCTACCTACAATGGTAACAAAACATGCACAATTAAATTCATGATTAAATAAATACAAAACTATTTTGCGTTTTTCTACTAATTCTAGGAGTTGCTCCAAATAATCCCATCCTTCATTTTTCTGCCTTGGCGATCGCGATGGGGTCGGCGCTCCAAAATCCACTCATGAGCCAGGACTAGTGGCCTCTAAGTTCTCGTATAGATGGAAAGACCATTGATCTTCTGGTTTTTCATCTCTTTACTCCTATTTTACCCAGTGTTTTGTCCCCATTGTGGATTGCATTAGGGACAAGGGACCTACTAGCTTCACACTGTTCAAGTTTGGTCGAGTGTCCACATAGTGCAGATTTCATAGATCAATTGCCACTAGTAGGACCACTTACCTTGAAGCTGAGTCACCAATTAAGAGCCGACTTAAAGTGATAGTCTCTTCTTATTTCTCTTTGCCAACTTCTAAGTCACTAATTTCGTATCAATGACAATTCAGTCACTCGTTTTAGTGCTGCTCAGCAATCTACTTACATGTCATTTGGCCGGTAGAGGCGTAAAGTAGCCGTAATTTACGTATACAGTTCACAAATCTTTATGTAAGAGCTCCAAGCCAAGCCTCTGGGGGCATTTTTAAACCTTCAGTAAGGCTGATTGCCATAAGTAAAAGTGGCTCCAAAAACATTACGGTTGTGAAATTCCGCAGACTCAACCATCGACGACAATGGCCTTTCTTATGTGAGGTTTAAGGTCTTGCAGCCAGCCAAAAAATTAGGATATTTATTTGACTGCTTCGGTTTCAATAGTCGCTGCCACTAATGTATCTCCTTCAGTCTATCCTGAAGTTGCAACAGGCCACAGGAATATGGACTAGGCTACCATAGGCATGAACAAACGGTCATTCCGTCCTGAGTAAATGTGATTTAAGGGAAATGAAAACCTACATAGTTAAAAACTATTAAATCATAGTAGTCACAAAGGCGCAAAGAGACACTTATAATAGTACGGAGGTCTTCTGCATTCATGAATGATTGTAGTACCTCGGAACTTTCCTGAAGACGAATGAAGATATGATACATGGACAGGTTATGTAGCTGCTAAAATGGCCCAAATGACAAGTCATTCGCCGGAGCCTGCGTGATCTATTACCAAAACCACCATTTAAATGTAATTTCGTTGCAATTAGACACCTATTTTAGCATGCACTTATCTACTAGAATTTTTCACTCTCACCGGTTTGAATTTCAGTTTAGCGCCCATTCCTTTTACATCACAGCCCTTTCGTTCGTCAATAAGAGATCTTCCGCACCGATGTGGTTTAAAACTACCTCAGAAAAGAATAGAGGCGTTTTGATGTAATCCGAGGCAACTTGGTGCAATCACAACAAATTTTCAGTGTTTAAGATTTAATGAATGACATTAAGAAGAAGAGGAGCATCGCTACGGTCACCAACGCTATGCACTGTAAATGCAATTCCCAGCAAAATGTTCAACCAGCACCCTTCTTAATGGCATGAAGCAGGGAAGACTAGGTAACCTGGACTTTATTTTGATCGGACTGGAAATTAAAATGCGCTGTCTTACAGCACATTGCATTACTGTAGCGCCTCGAGGGTTCCCTAAAGACGAAAGAAGACATGACACTCGGGTTAGATATGTGCCGCCTACGTACAGTTTGGTTTGGGGCTGATGGTATGGCCCGAGGGCCAGCCTAACTGATGGAGGTACAATAGCAGTGACACAAAGTAGCGCCTTTACAAAAATCAAGGGTTAAAAAGCAATCAACATGTTACATAGCCCCTCCCATTTTAAGTGCATTGCCTCGCACTCCCTTTATTCAATCTCTCGCATCAGCCATTACAACGCAGTCAGGGCTGTAAGAAAAGCACCAATTAGCCAACCGCGCCAGCCACCGAATTTCCATGCAGCGTCACTGATACCCTCTTGGCATTTCCGCTGGATTTCAAGTCTCGTCTTGCATGGCAAATGGATTCTGAAAAGGAAGTTTGTGTCAGCCATCACGCGTCTCCATAGCACAAAAGCAGAATCAAAAACCAAAGGAAGGGACTTAGCACAGCCTTGTAGGAATAATATTTCGCATCTGTTCCTTCTTGCTAATTTGTGCTTAATTCACCATTGCTCAGCCATTGCTATCGCTATTCTATTCAGCTAGTGGAGAAGTGGAGGAAGTATTGTGTGTTCACACATTTAAAATCGTCATACAGGAATTTTGGACAGCTCCGTAAAGAACTTTTTTTAGATAGTTCACAGCCAGCTTTCCTGGGGACACGAGACTGGTGCAGCTGCACAAGGTAGAACTTCTGACGAGGGTTGTCACTCATCTCCCCATCAGTGGCATGTGCATATCCTCCTCCCTACCATGAAGCTCGGATTTGTTTCCAGTGACAATCGATGTGACGCCCAAAGACTTCTCTGAAGGTAAAAGAAGACAATAATCGGCTGAATACATATTCCACATAGAGTAGGGCTGAACTACCGGAATGCTGGAGGACCAGCCTATCAGCTAAAGGTACGGTAGTGGAAAACAGAAGTGGTCTCTCTAGCAAAACAGCGATTAAAACAAAATCTGCCGTTTTACACTGCTTCGGCTTAATACATTTTACGACTTCGAGAAGACTCCGAGTTGACTATCAACAGCAGTTGCATTCAAGATTACAAGGCCAAATTAAGACCAAATCAATTAAATAGTGGATGAATGCGATTGATCCAATCGACCATTGTTGAGTTTAGTCTGGTTTCACTGTCGTAAAAATTGCACCTAGGAAATCACACAGTATGCAGTGCATTCTTCATTTTTTGCATTAATAAGCTTGTAAGATGTTCGACTGCACAATTTTAAGGTTTAAAAAAAGTGAAATTCCAAAAATTTTAATCGCCAAAGTTTCGACTTTTTTGTTTTAATGCGCTGTATCCCTGACGCCTCTTTAACTCTGTCTACTGCTATGCGCTTTGGCTTTTGGTGTGGTTAGCTGTGGTTGTGCTGTTCTAGCGTAATTTCAATGTTAGGACCTTGTAGGGCCTTTTACTTCCTAACTGAGGGCATTTACTTTGTCATTTATGTGTTTTGTCCTTGTTTGTGAGAAATATCAGGCAAAAGCGTTTGAAAAGTGGGAAGAATGTGTCGAAGTTTTCTTTTGTAACAGGTTTTTTGGAGTTAGTCATTTGTATTTTATGACTGACCTGGTTTCCACCTAATTTTTATGTGCTTGTTAATTTTATTGTGGTTTTGTAGGAGCTTATTCCTTAGTACCGGCACTTGACCTTTGTTTATAATCTTACGAGCTTTCTATAGTTATTAATATGTGAATTTTTTAGGAGCTAGCACTTATGCGATATTTTACTGATTTAAATCCCTCTGTAAAGCATTTTCACTATTTAATTAATTTAACACTCATTTGATTGTCTCTCCTTGTCGTAGCCATAAATCGAGGAGTAGGGACTATATTGTGGATTTTTCTACCCGCACAGTGTAATTCTGCATAAGCATATTTCAACTTAACACAGTAAGTAGTGCTTTTATATCCGATTTTTTGTTCTGTAAGAGCGTAACTGGGCTATCTTAATTTTAGGTTTTTACTGGTAGGAATTATCGAAATACAGGTCTAACTTTGTAGTTGTTGAAATTACAGGAGAAGTTACCTTATTTTGAGCAATTATTCCAATGGATGCCTATTGGGGATGTAAGATTCATCATCGGGGCATTTATTTCTAGCTCTAGCCGTGTTTGCAAACACTGATACAGATCATCCTTATCTTCCAAGCATAGACAAACCAGTCTGGATTTTGGGCGAAGAACATAGCGCTTTAAATGGTAGGTCGATGCACACGTTATTTTGCGGACTGATTCCACCTAATGCATCATGCTTATTTGTTTCGATTCATTGTTTAGACCAAGAGGAGATAGCTAACGATATTCGTTCGAGATTGTGGTTCACATACCGACGAGGTTTCGCGCCGATTGGGGGTGAAAAGGGCCCCACTACGGACACTGGTTGGGGCTGCATGCATCGGTGCGGCCAAATGCTGATTGGTCAGGCGCTGGTGCACCTCCACTTAGGTCGAGGTCAGTGATTCCTGATTTTGATTTACCTTCCTTAATTGGCCATGCTTCCACCAACTGGGCCCGTGTATGTTAGTGGAAATTTTCTTCTTTTTTACCATTCAGAGTGGAGGTGGAATCCCGATCGCCTGGATCGATCGTACTTGCGGATCTTGAAGATGTTCGAAGATAAGCCGACCGCACCTTATTCTATTCACAAAATAGGTTAGTGATCAAAGTCGTTTCTGCGTATAAACACTCTTTTTGCATCACTTCTGCTGGAAATTGTTCTCATTTTAGCTTCCAAAGCTGCATCAGATGACAATAAGACCGTCAGCAGCTGGTTAGGACCCAATACTGTTGCCCAAATTCTTAAGTAGGTTCACTACTTTAGGCATTAATGGCCTATAACCATAAGAAAATCATACCACCCACCATTCCGCTTATACCCTGTCATGAACTGAAGCCGTTACTTAATTTCCTTCTTTATTTAGAGATGAATTCAACTATCTAATGTTTCGGGATCTTGATTAATGTGATCTAAGATAAATTCATGATCCGAAAAATTCACGAACAAAATTTTAATGAAGATTTGGTAATACTGGGTTTACAAGTAAAATAGTGGTTGATTGATGTAATTGTACTTCTGTTTTCCAGGAAGCTCTCTGCCAGTGATCGGTGGACAAACCTTGTTGTTCATGTTACAACGGAAGATGGAATTGTAATGCAGGAAATAAGTAAGCTTGAGATTTTAATATGATTTCTATTCCATATTGAGCTAATGTTGTATATTTGCAGGCTACACTGTCGCCTTGAATTTGCCTCTTACAGAAACCGAAGGATGGATAACGTCATCTTGTAAAGCTCGCGATAAGATTAATTTATTCCTAATAAAAAGCAACTCCTTCAGCAAATAAAATCCTTGCTCTTCAATTTCTTTGGTTCAAGTAGAAGTGCACATTGGATTTATTTCTGCCAACTCCAGTTTTTGATTTATAAACGACCTATTTTATCAAATGTACGGTACACTTACCTTCGAAGGTTCATCTTACTCTATTGTAATTGGGTCATTTGGTGCTTTTCGCTTACTGTGTACGTGCTTTGTTTCTTGTCAGAAAGTCTCTGTCGTCGAAGCGCCTCGGCTCGGAATTCTAAAATCGCAGCGATCGATGAGTCAACTTGCAATAAGGACACCTCACCACCTTCTCCCATCTCCCACGATTCCCTTCACCTCTCTGCAGAGCGAAAAAATAGCGACAGGTCAGTAAACTTACCTCAAAATTTTCTTCTGATGACAATCGATACTTTTTTAATTTCACATGCAACACAGAATTCTCATTTTACTATACCGGGTAATAGAGTCCCCTTGATCGCTATAGTAGTAGTATTTACCCGCGGCGGTCGAAGTAGTGCCCCATCACAATTCTTCCTCTGTCCTTTAAGACCAGTTATTGTGAGCAGTCCGATAACCGTGGAGGTGGATGATGAGAGTGTGGCAATAATCCTCCCCCCGGTCTATAACATGTCTTTTCCCTCCGGAGACGACTCCTCTCCTACCTCGGAGGTCTTCTCCGTACTCACTACTACAACCGCCGCTTCTTCCACGTGGCACCCCTTGTTCCTCGTTCTTCCTCTTAGACTCGGCCTCCACGAGTTCAATATGCGCTACGCACCTGCGCTTCAAGTGAGTTTTCCTCCCGTTTCTAGAGTTTATTAAACGGAAAACATAGAGAAGAGTAACAAAGTAGATTGCTATACATACTATGGTCCACGGAAGTCTCCTGTGAGGCTATTACTAGTTTTAAACTGTTTTGGGACCACCTCTGACTTACTAAATAAATATTGCGCGTGACCGCCTAAGGTGCTTTGCTAGTAATTTTTAGTTTTCCGTGTGTTGAAGTGTTTCCCACCTGATTGTGCTCAAACGTAAAATCTCTAAACGATTTTAGATGGCTTACATTGCTGAAGCATCGAAGATTGTGCTCATTTAGCTGTGTGTTAGACACCTCACCATTCTCCATAGTCTATTAGGTTTAACAGATACTGTTTAGCCCTTTTGTATATTTATAAAAAGCTCTTTTTCGTAGTAGGGTCTATTTGTCGTTAAAATGACTCCACTCTGCTAATATTACTGTAAAATTTATTCCTCATTGCGATGGCATTGCATATTATCTTTCACTTCAAACCCCGGCTCTCACCCGATGGTGTGCATTGGACATGATTGTATGTAATTTTTTAAATGATACCGAAGAGGTTGAGGGTTAAAGCGGGAATATCATTGTGGGAGTCACAAAAACTCGAGTATGAAGCGACTTTATAATAGGCCGAATTCATGCTCCTATGATTGCTCATATCACCAATAGTAGTTTCATTATGATGCCACTTTAAAATGCGGGCTAGCGTTGTATGCATTTTGCTGTTGGTGGAAGGGCCTGTTCAAGCTGCGCCAGTGCGTGGGTGTGATAGGTGGGAGACCAAACCACGCTCTCTGGTTGATCGGGAGTGTGGGGGACGACGAGGTGCTCTGCCTCGACCCCCACACCACACAAGCGGCGGCGATTCTGGGCGAGCCGGCGCCGGGGGTTAGCGAGGAGGCTGCCTCGCTGGACGGCTCCTTCCACTGCACCACTCCCCTCCGCATTCCATTGCGGCGTCTCGACCCCTCCCTAGCCGTGGCCTTCGTTTGCCGCACCGAAGCTGACTTTGACGACCTCTGTGCTCACCTCCTCGCCGATAAACTCTCGTCATCCCTCTTTGAAGTTCACGAGACTCGCCCTCGAAACATTCCCCCGCCTTCCTTTACCTCTCTCCGCACTCCTGAGGAGTGGGGCGAGCTTTTCGCCTCCTCTGGCCCCGCGATCCCTGCCTCGCCCACTCCTCTGACTTCCAAATGTAAAGCGGGTGAGCTACTGTCATTGATGCATGGGAGTGCGATCCATTCAATGATGTTAAATGTTAAAATACTAGTCCCAAAAATTATACTCTATGGGAAGTATATCTATGTCTGGACGAGGTAATAATATTTATAGCACAATTCAACTTGCAGGCCGGTAAAGACACCCGTCAGGTCAAAAAATTTCACGCGAAAATCCGAACCTCCCACTCTACTTCCATATCCATACTGCCATTGCGCTTACTTCATTTTACACTTTAATTGCATGAAACCCTAACAGGATATACCCAGTTCCTCAATCGTCGGGATCGCCTCTGTTCGAACTATCCAGTTATTAAAAATTACATGGTGATTCTTCTTCCTTCATTCCAGATGGAGACTTCGAGCTGGTGTAGCCTGGTGCGCATTCCTCAACATGGCAAATTTGCGTTAGCAGAATTGTTCGACTGCCTTTGTTCTACTTCAACATACCCGTACATTTAGGGAGTGCTTACGAATGCAAATTACGCGCATGTGTAAATCAGTGTCCCATATTTTACCACTGCCCTCATTAGCAACGTGACTAATTACTTGGAATGCATCAATAAACTTCTCCATTAGTTACAATCGTGGATTTTGATTGAATACAGCAAATCTTAATGAGGCTCCGCGGATGTCGAACCCAGCTTTCGGGGAAACCGGAAAACGGGTCATTATCTTCTGTGCAAATTCAATTAGGTCCAAAACCATTCGAAGATAGAATGTTAGTTTCCGTAAATCTACAACTGTGAAGATAGTTGTTTCTTGCGATTTGTCACATTGGGTATGGTGGCAGACACTCTGATATTGAAACCAAATTTATTCTTTCCAATTCACAAAGTCAAGCGGGTGGTAGTTCATTCGCCATCCCATTCAATAAACTTCATGCTAGCCGATCAGTAAGTGGTAGTTTCCCACTGCAATGAGTGGACAAACTGATGGCAGAAATCCACATTGGCGACATGTCTGATGCACAAATTTCGGCGAAAGCAGATTTGCAGACGCTTGGGGGTGGTGCGCAACCATCGAACCCGTACCGCCTCAGTTTCCAAAATGCCCGGCAGTTGCCCGAGTTTGCGGTACGCTACAATCCCGGGCCACACTAAATCTGCCGCAGTGATTTTATGGTTATAAAATCCTTCTTTGACCTAGAAATTTCATCCAAAAATCGGTGGTGAGCTTTAGGGTAATAGGTTTATCCACCCCTATGAAGTAACTAACTATGCTCGCAGATGAGGTCTTTCGTGAGAGTTCGTTTGACATTTTGGCCCCCATAGGATGTGCGTGAAGTGACCAAGTGCCTAATAAATAGTGTGGTATGGCATTCTTCATTTACTTCCACTATCGCGAAATGTGCCCCGATATTAAAAAATAAAAATCATGTATCTGTAGCAGGAAGGTACGGTATTTACATGCGCTCAGAGAGCTTCACGTATCGCCTCAAATTCTCAGCAAGTTCACCATGAATGACTTTGGCCACCTCAACAGCACCACGAATGAGGATGATCAGCTTATCCGAGGGAAGCCACGATGAGAGTCGCGTGTGAAGGAGGCGGGCACCGGAGAGGTGCTGAGGCAAAGAAGAAGGTAGAAGGGAAGGTTCGAAGTCGCCTGTAAGGACGTTTGCACCTGAATCTGTGTTACCGAAGAGGCAGACAACAGTGACTCGGGTAACACGAGAATTCTCCTCATACCGACACAGATCAGCGAATAAACGTGACCCATAAAAGCCTATGAGAAAGATATGGGAATATTTAGGCGCCTAGAAGGCGTCCGCGACGGCGCGAAACATACCCACAGTTGACGCAACAGCGAAGCCAATCATTTCGATTCCAGCGGCTACCAGGGCTAGGCTGGCAGCGTTGATAGCAGTGCTGAATTCCGAACCGTCTGACTGGAGAACCTCGATAAATATATCGAGTTGGGCCGTTGGATAAATTGATCCACGAATTAGTGCCGAAAAAACTTCCTGAATATCCCAAAAACGCATAAAACCATTTTTGGTGCATAAAAGCCAGCAATCAGGTGCTAAAACACTTTTTGGACTGAGAACATGTCTTGAGAAAAAGTGTGAGCCGCGAATTAGACTAGAAAATATTGCAATGTAGTTTGGCGCCTTTACGTCAGTGCCAATCCATGATTACCATGCAAGATCCTTTAAACTAATGATCAATGCATACCACTCTCCGTAATGCCCACCAAATACACTAATATGTAACAATTGGACAAGAAATCATTCAAGAAATCGGTTAGTATGATAATGCATAAGACATGAACAAACCTCGATAGTCATTGCATATTCTGCTGAAACTTTGTCAGAATGGGTGTGCTTCTGTCGGCTGCCAGACGTGTTAACGAATGGAGGACGATTGTACTGACAGGTAATATAAACCTCATCAGGTACTTCGTCAGCTTTGACGTTGCAAGGATGGGGGCCAAATACTGAGGCAGTAACTTTCGTATTGCCCTGCTGTAGAAGAACAGAACCATCTGCCAATCCAGGCAAGAATTCACAAAAAATGGTGCGTAGTTCTGTTGTTTTGCGGCCGTCAACGCGGCGGTCATTGAAATACAACTCTGCCATCAAAAGCCCGACGAGAGCAAACAAGCCACAGCTCACAAGTATCTACTAAAACGAATCAGAATTAGCCCACTTGGACGCATAACTAAATAAATCTATAGTGGGAAGTTTGACGCTGATCATTAAACAAATAGATTGCTACTAAATATAAACAAAGAGTTCGTGGCAGATTGCGCGAATTAATTGACTTTTAAGGCGCGAAACAAAGTCAGATGGTATAAAAACGTATGTTGGGCCGATTTATACAACTACGCAGCTGAACAACTTTAAGCATCTTTTAAATTGAGTCATATTGCTCATTTTAAGGACTGTACTAAAAGTTACTCGAAGTTAGTAAACAACTCACATATTTAGAGATAGCAATATTTCTTGTAGATATTTGTGCTTCTTCATGAAAGAACTAACAAGTTCGCCCCTGTTTTAGCCAGGAAAAAGGTGAACTTATTTAAGAGAAGTGTTATTTTGTAAATGCTTTCAAAGTTTTATCCAACATTCAGTTTCATATCGCTTTAAGTTATTGAAAATCGTACGGCAGGCTCTTACGCATGATTGACTTAAAAACTGCTAGCACAAGCAACTGCTGTGTAATCAAATTATGTGAGCACACTTTGTGTATCACGAAATCTGCTTTTGTTTGTTTGCGCTGGCTGCTTTTTCTAGAGTGGTTTCGGTTCTGCGTCTGTTCTGTGGGCGTACGTTCGTCGCATTTGGTGGTGAGTGAGTCGTTGAGGAATGGCTGCACTTGTTTTGTCCTAGATTTATTGGGCTCAAACTATCCTGAGCGTTGCACTGGCTAGATTTGCGTCCTACGGCTTTCTCCCACCGTAGTAGGATCCTCAATGTTGTTTTTGGTCTGAGTTTTCGTTAAGTCTTACTTTGGCAATCAAGAAAACAACTTTCACTCCTCTGGTTTAATTCACCAACATTTTTTCCCATGTTTTTATAAGAAATTTTAATTGTTTGGGCCACTTCGTGGATATTTTAGGCATGCAATTACAAAGCAAAGCCCGTATTTATGCAGATGTAAATCTCAACAAACCTCGTGAGTATTGGGACTATGAAAATTACACTATTAATTGGGGAGACCAGGATGATTATCAAATTGTACGGAAGCTTGGCCGTGGGAAATATAGCGAAGTTTTCCAGGGCATAAATGTCACCAACAATACCAATTGTGTCATCAAGGTACTTAAGCCGGTGAAGAAGAAGAAAATTCGTCGCGAAATCAAAATCTTGGAGAATCTCAGGGGCGCCGAAAATATCATTTCTCTTTTGGCTGCAGTTAAAGACCCTGTGGTAAGTCTGTAGTTACTACCGAATCAATCTTCTGTGTGGATACGTAATTTTCATTGTTCTCGTAACAGCCTTAAAGCATACTTGTAAATTTAGGACCTCTTAATAACGGCATCCGCGAATGCGGATGGTTTTGGATTTTCCTATAAGTAATTTTAACCACAAGTATTTTCAAATCTTCAGTCTAGGACTCCAGCTCTTATTTTTGAATATGTTGACAACAAAGACTTCAAGGACTTGTACCAAAATTTGACGGACTACGACATTCGGTTCTACATGTTTGAATTGCTTCGTGCTCTCGATGCATGTCACAGCATGGGAATAATGCACCGTGATGTCAAACCTCACAACGTTATGATTGATCATCCAATGAGAAAGCTCCGCCTCATTGATTGGGGTCTCGCCGAATTTTATCATCCTGGTCAGGAGTATAATGTTCGTGTTGCATCTAGGTATTTCAAAGGTCCAGAGTTGCTTCTGGATTATCAGGTATGCTTCGTTCACACCTACTCCTAACCGTTTTGCGCCCGTGGTAATTGTCGGAAAAAAGGCGAACGAAATTATTAACCTTATTTTTTCCGTTGTAGACGTACGACTACTCTCTTGATCTGTGGTCTCTGGGTTGCATGTTGGCAAGTATGATATTTAAGAAGGAGCCATTCTTCCACGGACACGATAATTATGACCAATTGGTACGGATTGCAAAGGTGTTGGGCACGGTCGAGTTGTTCGATTACATTCGTAAGTATAATATTGAGATGGATCCTCGTTTTAATGACATTTTGGGAAGACATGGTCGAAAACGCTGGGATCGTTTCATTACGGCTGACTGCGAGCATTTAGCAACACCGGACGCGATCGATTTGCTTGACAAGTTGCTGAGATATGATCACCATGAGCGTCTTACGGCGAAGGAAGCAATGGAGCACGAATACTTTGCCAATATTCGAAAAGCTCGTTCCGAGGGTACTGCTGCTGCGGCCATTGCTGCGAATAACGGAAGCAAGGAAGGATGTAATAATGTTGGCGATGTGAACTCAAAAGACGACGCAAAGTAGTTTATGCTCTTCTGAAGTTAGTAAATAGACGCTGGGTTGTGCTGTAAATCTTTCAAGTCTCATGGTGATAGCACTTACCGGAGTCCCCTTGTACATCTATCCCCGTCCCCAACTCACTAATCAAACAATTTGTCAAGCGTTTCTTCCCAACGGCTTCGTTTCCCTATGCGAAATTGTACACTTAAATATGAGATTAAAAACTGTCAGTGGGAAAGGGGGGTTTCTTGCCTTGCCTCCTTGCGCCCCTCCTTGTCTTCCCTCTTGCATTTCAATTTGGAAATTTGCGTTTTCATCAATGAAGCTTGGGGGATGCGTGGGTGTATCTACCATAATTTCTGCCGGCTGCACAGCTTTCAGTTCGTTCTAGTTTTCCAAGCGACCGCATAATTTTGGGTCCTATTGGTTAATCTTTAATGGGGTTTTAGCGATTTGGTGCTAGTATGCGCCACGGTGGCTCCATGGCCGTGTCTGGTGCGCGGGTGTGGCGTCTCACGTGGTTGGGAACTGACGTTGAACCGTGTTTTGGATATCTGGTCTGATGAGTCGTTGCGTACTATCCTGACGACTCCTGTTCTGCTGGGGGAGGCCTCGAGCCTGTCCACATCCGCTCGGCGGCAGTTGGTGCTCAGGGTTGGTCAGTGTCTCGAATGTCTGGGGTTGGATTCGCGGCGGAGAACGTTTGGTGAGTGAGAGCATTCTTCAGCGCTCCGCTGCGCTGTGGTACTGGCGCATCTGCCATCAGTGAGGAGTGATAAGGCATGGTGGTCTGCTAACTTCACTGTTTAGGGCCTCTAGAATTGTGGTGATGAAGTATTTTGGATTTTCCTTTTATAAATCCCTGTGGTTGGTACCCACCGCATTGACTACTGTTTTCACGCTTTGTTGGTTTAAATTTGAGATTGATCTCTTCTATAGACTTTGCACGAATTCACTGCCATTTCCTTTTTCATTCGTTAGTTAGTATGTTCTAATTCTCCACATTGCAGCTTAATACTAGTCCTGCATGGTTTGGGGTGTCTTCCGCCATGAGGCCTTGGCATGCGTGTATGGATATCAAAATTGCCTTTATTATTTGACGTGTTTGAGTCTGTGCATCCATAGTCATCTGGTAACAGCAGCTACCTTCATTTCCAACATGGGTAATGCGGGAATTCACTTTAGCCGGAGCCTATTTCATCACCTAAATACAGATCCTTACAAATATGGCATTTCCAGTTGACATACCAAAACCTGTGCTTTTATACATGTACTAGAACTGTAGGTGCATCGAATGCATCAATTGGACAACAATAAATATGCATGTTGAGTTGGGTTTGTGCAGTGAAGGGTTTCTGCTCAGTTAGAGTCAAATAATCTGAATCGTCCTCTAAGCCATGGAAGCAGAGTGTGGAGCTCGTGTCCATACCAGTATGCGTTTGCACGAATCACGAGAATATTGAGACTGCTACAACTGTTGGACTGTTTCAAGGATCTATCAAATCGCGTACAATCTCGATCATGGAGGGTATGGCATAACGTTTAAATGCAGAGCTCTCAAAAACGACACCGAATGCGCTACAAAAGTGTTTGAGAACCCAATACAAAGTCTCCGAGCTTGTCAAGACATCAAAAACCCACGGAATCTTTGGGGTTTATCAAACATTATTCCCCTACTTACGGCTGCTATCAAATATCTTATCGTTAGGGCCCTTCTTGTTTAAATTAACAATAGCTGAGAATTAATATATCTTACAGTTTTTGGGGTTCTCGTGATTTTTACCACTATTCCAATCACGTATTCTGATTTTTGATCATGCTTTAACTCAGCTCTTTAAGGATATTTCTTACAAAAATACAGAGGAGGTTGAAATTTGTTTCACTTGCATAAATGCGCTGTTTTGTGGATTCAGTGCGGTACAGAGAGCCCCACTCACCAACGAATTGTTTCGTTGGTAAAAAGCAGTGAGTGAATACCCTATATGTCAACCTATCGTAGGTGACGTTCCGTTCGTGGGCTTTCAATTTCGACTTCGAGTCATTCCAAACTGCATGTGATCACACGGTCGACCTGTCGCGATATCAACGCGAACGGCGTAGACACAGCGACTCATTATTTGCTAATTTGAGTTGCGATTGTTCTTTATCATTTTAGGTAGGAAACGAAATTGGTTAAATGGTTTTATACAATTGATGAAAGTCACGCGAATGAGGTGATTCGAGAGCCTGTGATCAAGGAACTAGGACACGATCAACAAGCCACCCCCTTGCAGGACGACGTTTTCTTCGCTATGTCCCTCTGTCGCACAACATCTTCATCCAACCACCAAATGAGTACTTCACCTTCTAATTTGTAGGAAGCCGCAAAAGTCATCCGTGTATCCGATGTCTGAATCTCATCCACCCCTACAGGCCTTTTCATTGTAACAAAAGGTGCGATAGATTTGCGAGATCACTTGTTCCAATATGATCTTCCTACGGCGCAGGAAGCCGTGGAGCGTGTATGCTTTGCCAGTGGCGGTCAAAAGTCGGACAATTAGATCTAAATTTAGTGGCAACTGACGGCGGATGCACATTCAGAGAGTCATTGATCTAAAGCCTATTTCAGTTCGCCTTAAATTTTTCCTATCCTCACCTCAAAAGCAAATAGATTATACGTTTGCGCTTAAAATGTCTTTAACCCTTTTTAGGCGAATTGCCCAAGTATAAACAAAGTAATAAATTTGTGTTCATAAAGGCAATTTTATTTCTAACTGATTTTACATTGGTGGATGGAGGTGTTTTGCCATTCTTCTGTCCCCTTTTTGGTTTTGTGGCTGTCTCTACCTCCTATTTTCCCCTTCTTAGAGCTAAAGATCTGTTGCTGTAGTCATCTTTAACCATTCTTCAAACTCTGTGCCCCGTCTACTTCACACTTTTTTGTCTGAAGTTACTTGTTTACGGGTTAACACGATGTACTTAACTATATCAGCTGCTCCTAAAACAAAGTGATTCACCTTTAGTCATCGTTAACGCATTGGTGACTCTTCTGTGGCTCGTTTGTATTAGATCAGCATTGGATGATATTGGGAGCTGCTCCCACAATTGTCTCATCAGTTCCATAGTGTACTAGGCCACTAACTCGGATCGCAAAGGGGGTTGAAGAAGCTTAAAAATAAATAAAATAAAGCTACATATTGCATTCCCAGGTGCGTATGTTGAAATCCCCATGTCTGCTCTAAAATCGCAAATGAAATTGCAGGTCAAATCATCCTGCCTTTTTACCTCCCGTCATGGTAGATGAATATCAGACAAGTGTCATCAAATGTACTCAAGTCCTTGGGTTCTTCACATCTAAAATGACAGCTCATGAATTGTTTAATCCGGAGCCTTCGTAAGCACAGTTTATGATGACATTGTGGAGTAGTTGTTTCAGTAATTCAAGTAGGAATTGATGAATTTTGAAGTAAATAACACAAGCATTAATGCATTTAGTGATAAATCCAAAAAGTAAGAATGGTCCGGAGGTCTTCACTCATTTGTAATTTACAAATCAACTAAGAAAACACTGAAGAAGTCACGTGCATGCAAATGTTGGGAAGAAAAAATCGCTGGAGTACTGGGACCACCACCAATTTGACGTTAAATGGGAAGAGGTGGATTACCAAATTATGCGAAGGAATTTTAACAAGGTGGTTCAGGGTGAGCACAAATGCCAAGCCTAGAGTTTGTCGGGAGTTCAAGGCCTCATTAATGGGGATTCTCTGTTGAGGCAATGTTGAGAGTTGTGGTTTTTTCTAGAAGTTTGTCTATTTCTGAATGCAATGTCTTAAACATTTACCACATCCATGAGTTTTTGTGGCTATACTATCAAACGTGTTGTTAGGAAGTGCATCCTCTACCTGGTTGAGGTGATGCCTTCATAAGTAAACAGTTGCAGGCTCTTTCAATTAGGGAATGAAACTAAAGCAGTCGATTAACTAGTTTGTTTGTAACCATTTCGGTTTTGAGAAACCTGACCATGGTGATAATCACCGCATTGCAAATACCAGCCCTTATTAGCTGTATCTGAAAGGTATGTTCGACCTATTTCTCTCACAGATATGTGTATATGCTCTTGTACCAATTATTAACCACACGGTTTATCATGGCTCAAGCTAAAGCCTAAAATTTCCTGTTACTTGTTGCATATGATACATATTTATCGTATTCACGCGCATTTCAGAGTATTTGTCCCTTAACCACTCAGTGCGTCTTTCTAACCTAAGAGAGTGGCCATCATAGTCGAGTATTTGACATTACTTGCATGATTTGTACACTACTCTGCGGGACTAATGACACCGGGTATATAAGAATCCCATCTGACTCTGACCCCTGTCATAGGGTAAAAGTCATGCATTGAGATGTCGATGTGACACTGTGAGTGATAAATTGAAGTGGACGGTTTCATCTTATTGACTAAGATCAGGCCGACTTCTATCATCCGGAGAAAAGTTGCAGCTTCCGCATCGGTACACGTTTTCTTACTAACTCACATTCACGTAGTTGGTTCGACTTACGTAGTACTCTGTCTCCCATTTTTGAAATATGGCTACTTTCTTGACCTATTACCTCTAAATTTCATACTATCAGGTGTGGTAATTGTTTGAAAATTCTTCTCGCTTAGAGGATAATTGCGCTCCAGCGGGGTGAATACAGAAGGTTTCAGAATCTGCAACCTTGCTTAAATACGCTCGTAATTGTAACACTAAAACAGATCTTCTCAAAGACACACTAGAAGGTTATACACGAAGACGCTCCAATAACTTCTCTACTACTGATAACAAAAAGTTAGCAAAAAGGTGTGGTATACCTACTAAACAGATTCCTTGAATACGATTACAGGAAGCGTCTATAGGAACTATACAAATTCAGGAACCCGAATCAGAATGCAGCATGACTGGTACTTGCGTGGAGCCATCGGTTAGGAATTAACTTCGCGAAGGTAGATAGACATTGATAGTTATTTATTTAAAGCTGAAAACCTTAGCAAGATTAATCCCTTAAAATTTACTATTACGGGAATAGCCCGATGCGTTGAGACTTTTGCGCCCTCTTTAGATTGGCAAAGCGGGACAAGGGAAGGCCCGAAGGGCGAAATCAAACGATAAAAGATGGAACAAGTTAGTCACCTAGTGTAATGGATGAAGACCAAGCCACTATGCAAATCACTTTTATACCATCAACTCATAGAGTTTGATGTCTGAATGGATCGTTTTCAAAGAAATACAAAATCAAGTTCTCAGACTATGCGTTAGAGTATGGATAATTTGGTTAGTTAGGGAGTCCGGTACGCTGTTTTAGGTTCTCCATGGCACTGCACTTATGACTTGCATTCTCAAACATTCTTCGGGATTATTTTATCAAAAGAGAATATTGTTGCATTTACCAGCAATTAAAAATGGGCTTAAATAGGCTAAGTCGCCTTTATTTTGCTTGTTTAAGACGGCGATAACCACTCTAAGTGTCGAACTGAAAGTCGTTCATGTCTAAGATACATAATCTTAGTTTGCTATTTCAAAACCATTTAGGCTACAACGTTCAAAATTGCATTTTTTCCAGTGGCCTAGTTACTCCGACGCTGTTTGAGGTAGTGTGAATAGATTTTTGGGCCGATAAAAGATCCTAGAATGGTGAAAGAAAGGTAACGCTTCTTGCATGTTAGTACACATGCCAGGATACCTTGTGAACACTTTGATGCACTCGTGCTGGGCGCAAAAAAGGATTAAATGTCATTTCCATCCGAAGTGGCCCAATTGCAGACAACCTTACCTCTGAAAATGTGGAATGGCGTGATCTTGCTTGAGTCAGCAAGTTAAATAGGCAGCCACCTCGGAGAAAGTACCTATTCCAGTGTGAGGTACTAGTTTATTACTTTGACTCAGACCAGACGCATTAAATGAAAGGGAGAATGAAGTCGTTTTCCAAACCATGCAAGGTCTATTTATGAATAATCGTAGCCTAATTTTATCCAGAAATTAATATTATTGCCGGGTTAAAGAATTAAGTGCATTAAGTACTAACAATTGGCTATTATTGGTCTACTGCCATCAATAGCAGTTGTATGTAACAGAATAACTTTCAAATCTAAGCTCCATACCCCCAAACCAGTTACGCCGCCCATTGTGGGTTTGGCTGAGGCGGTGGTCTTAGTCTTCAGTCAGCTTTTCCAAGCCTCCATTTCATTCTAAAAACTAACACTTTCGTGATCGGAATTAGGGAAATAATGAAGAGAAACATGCGAGATCTCGGAAACTGATGTATGAAAGTTTATATTTTGATGAAAATCGGTCTAACGCCTTTAAAAGCTTATCACAGTCCGCTTTGTGCATAATTTATGTTATAATTTTGTCGTTGATCAACGTGACACCCTTATGGTTTGCTGCAACCCAAGGTTACTGTGCATAGGTGGGACCCGATTTTGGTACTTTTTTTCCTATATCGTAAGAAGGCTCATTTGCATAACAAACATCGCTTTTTCAGAAAATAGACCTTTTGACCGAGGCACATTTTAGACCTACAAAGAGGATATTATTATGGCGACAACTATGAATTTAAACTTTATTCTAACTGTTAATAATCCCATCGCTTGCAGTATATCGTACATTCTAGTGGTTAAGTAAATGTCTGATGGAATACATAACGCGAAACTTGTAATATATGCTGTCATTCAGTTTCCATCTTACCACAAAAGTATTGCCTTATCTTAATTTGAAAAATTTGTGTTTTGCTTTCCTTCCTAAGCTAGATTTACAAGTTACAAATTGGGATCTCGTGCAAAAATTAAAAAACGCACGGGATGCTCTGCGTGATCCTACGTAAAGCACTGCATCGTGGCAGTCCGCTGAGTTACACTTCGCAGGAGGTAAATAAAAACTACCGCAGTGTATTGAAATGATCGTAATGAATCAAGTTTGCTATCGTCCTCCTCGTTGGTATCCAAAGTACCCTAATCTCACCAGCACAGCCGCCTTACGAAATTAAACTTTCTACCATCTTTATTAAAATAAACGCACACGTTTAGTTAGGTACCTACGTAGAGTCGGTCCATATCGAGTAGTAAATACGTTTTTCGCAAGTCAGCCTGACTACTACTTAAAGGGTCTTGAATTTGCACAAGTTTCAAGACAAATTCCTTTATCACTTGAACTTTATAATTGATGTACCATAGGATGTGCAAATGATCACATGATGCAGTCGACTTAAGTCGAATCATTTCAAAATCTCAACTCGGTTGCTTTTCCTCCGGGACAAAATTATTCATCTTCCAGTAAAGGATAATTTGTTGCCACTTATTTCTAACATATAATCAGCCTAAATGAACAAAACTTGGCCATAATTGAGGAAGCATTCTACTTGATCGCAGTCAAGAGTACGCGCTAAAGGCCTTCTGAGATGCATGAAGTCGGATGGTGCTGCATTATAGATGCGTGGCAGGACTGAACAGTAATTAGCAGGAATGACTTTGACAGCAAAACCGTGCCTCCAAGATGGCAATCGAAGCCTGGGAGGATTAAGAAGA